TTGCAGTATTTTTATAGTAGCTGTTTTAAAGTCTTTGTCAGTTAATTCTGGCATCTGTGTAATGTCAGCATTGATGTGTGTTGGTTTTCTTTTCCTGTGTGGGTTGACGTTCCTGGTTTGATGTATTTCACCCACTCTCTGTCCCCTTTCCAGCTCCTTAAGCCAGGACTGGAGAGCTGCTCTCGATGCTCTTCCTTTCTTTGCCAGTGCTCATTTCGGGTTTGAGTTTCAGGCTGCCTTGCATATAGGCCAGGGACTATCAGGAAAAAAAAGTGATAAACTCCTGCCACTTTATTGGTACTTCAAATTCTAGTCTTCTCCATCTAGCTGCTATTATTTACTTTTCAGAGTTCTTGAAAAGCTGTTCCAAGCTTTTCAGGTTTTATAGCTTTGCTTAGTGTGTGTGAGACACTGAACTTGGAACCCTGTTCCTTATTTTTTTGCTTTTGTTTTTAAGGCCTGCCCACGTTCCTCTAAGTATAGCTTGTTCAGTAAATCTGACTGTTGTATAGTATTCTGTTATATACTTCTGTCACATTTTATCCATTTTCTTGTAATGAGCACTTAACATTCCTCCACCTCCTTACTACCACTGTCTCCTTCTGCATGTGTCTTCATGGTCTTTTGTGCAATTTCTTTGGGGATAGATGTTCAGGAATGGGATTGCTGGATTGTAAGATAATTCATAAATTTACTTACTTTATACATTCAGGCATAGATTTTGTTAAATACCATTATAAATATTATTAGAATACTAATAGACCCTAGACTAATTAGACTAATTCAGCTTTAAAAAGTAAGGAAATCTTGTCACATGCTACAACATGGACTGTTATAGTAATGCTAATATTCCTCTGTGTGTGTGTGTGTATCATCCGACAGTGGACATTTGGGTTGCCTCTTAGCTGTAGTGAACAATGCTGCTATGAACATAGATGTACAAATATCTCTTTGAAACCCTGCTTTCAGTTTTTGGATATATAACCAAAAGTGAGATTGTTCTGTTTTAAATTTTTTTAGGAACTGCCATACTATTTTCTATAGTGGTTACCATTTTACAATCCCACCAACAGTAAGTACGCAAGGGCTCCAGTTTTTTCATAGCATTACCAACACTTGGTATTTTCCGTTTCTTTTTTAATAGTAGCCATCCTAATGGGTGTCAGGTGATACTTCATTGTAGTTTTGACTTGGATTTCTCTTATGATTAGTGATATTTAACATATTTTCATATGGTTGGCCATTCGTATATCATCTTTGGAGAAAATGTTTATTGCTTTTTTGTTATTGAGTTGTAGAATTTTTTTTTAAATATATATTTTGGATTTAGTTTTAGTCCTTTTATGGATCTGAAAATTTTTTTGTGTGTATGATAGGAAGAAGACACAGCTATTTATCTTTTTACCTACAAAACTAGCACAATTTCTGGTACATAGTAAAATGCTTATAAATACTAATTGAATAAATAATGAATAAAATGGATTGCATTTATTTTTCATTGAAAACTTTACATGATTTTTAAAATTTTCCGAGAGATATCTTGAGCAAGAATCTCAGTTGTCTATGCCTTTTTGCCTATTCCGTTTAATTCAGGACAATTGGATCTCTAGTATCCTTCAGAATCTTAGAGTTGGAAGGACTTTAGAGATTATATGGTAAGAACTTGTTATATTTATTATACTGTAGTTATTGTGGAAAGAACATAAACACACAGTGTTCCTAGACAATTCATTTATCTTTAATTTTCTTATCTGGTCTTGTGTAACTATAGTCTTTGTGCTGGATATCTTTTGTTTTCTCCTCTAGAACCTTCTTCCTCTGATGTATGTCCCTCAGGGCTCACCCATGTGCACTGTGTCTATGGGTCCTTTGCTTTCTGGCTTCCAATTGGGGGATATGGGAGGTACCAAGCAGGAGACCAAAAGGCAGGTGTAGTGGGGGCTAGGTATTTATTCCCCTTCTCCATCCCTGCCAAGTTTTTGCAAATTGTCTGGATGCCTCTACCAATGATCATGATTCTTCTCTAGAGACCTTCTCCATATAGGTACCCTCTCCAGATTCCAGTTATTCATCTTGCCCCCTTCAAGCCTAGATGTATTAATAGTTTGGGGGCAATACACTATCCTTTGTTGGTTTCTCTAAACCTTATCCCACACCATTGTAAATAGTCTTTTTATGAAATTCTCAAATTACTCAGGGTTTTGATGCCATCTGTTTCCAGTAGAACTCTGATTGTAGGATATTTAGCGGCATCCCTGGCCTCTACCCACCAGATGCCAGTAGCATCCCCTTCAATCATGACAACTCAGAATGTTTCCAGTCATTGCCAAATGTCCTCTAGAGGGCAATATCACTTCTGGTTCAGAACCACGCTAGAATTATAGTCCCTACCAAACAGTATTGCATTATAGTTGCCAGATTTTCTTAGCTTTTTTTTTCCCAATGGAATATAAGTTCCTTTTGAAGGCAAGGACTGTGTATTATTTATCTTTTTATCTCCTGCAGCTAGCCATTGTCTGGCATAGAGATAATCAGTAAATACATGATGAATGGATTGAACATAATTCAGATATTTTGTGACATATAAGTCCTGTTGTTTATTGGGCTTGGTTAATTCTTAAGTGTAGTGTAAAAGCTTCTGGAGGCAATTTCACAAAAGGAAAATACATCTGATATTTTCTGTTAGTGGTATGCACAAGCAGGTAAATACTATTCCTAGTGGTCTTCCTTATGTTGGCTATCTTGTTTGGTTTGTCTACTCTTCGGTTACTTTGTTAGACCTAGCTTTTGTTTGGATATTACATGGTTTGGAGTTCAAGTCAAGAATTGAGAGAAATAGGAATTGTGTTGTTTGACACAGTGGTCAATACACAATAGTATACTCTAAAGTCTCGGGTGGTTTTGTCCATTGTAACTCTACTGTGTAATGAAAGTTGGTAAAATAGCCTTCTGTTATAGAGCAGCTTTTTTTAAAGTTGGTCTTTTAAACCCTTTGTCGATCTCTTTGTATGTGAGTAGATGTTAATGATATTTCTGTGGTCTTGGGCACTGGCTTTATTTCAAAGGCTGAGACTTAGAGGATTTGAAGAATTAAGGTGAGAACATTTTTTAAAAATTTTAATTAAATTAATTGGGGTGACATTAGTTAATAAGTTACATCATCTGTAAATTGCATTGTGTGCTTACCACCCACAGTCTGTCTCTTTCTGTCAACTTTACCCTCTTCAGCCTCCTTCTAGCCCTGTCTCCCTCTGGTAACCACCATACTGTTGTCTGTCTTCGAGTTTGTCGATTGCTGTTTTATATCCTACAATGAGTGAAATCATATGGTTCTTGTCCTTTTCTCTCTGACTTACTTTGCTTGGCATGATACTCTCAAGATCCATCCATGTTGTTGCTAATGGCAGTATTTCATCTTATGGCAGAATGGTGTTCTGGTGTATATATGTACCACATCTTCTTTATCCAGTCATCCATCGAAGGACACTTAGATTGTTTCTCTTTCTTGACTACTGTGAATAATGCTGCAGTGAACATAGGGATCCATACATATATCTTATCAAATAAATGTTTTCAAACTTTTTAGGTGGATATACAGAAGAGGGATTGCTGGGTCATGTGGTAACTATTTTCTTAATTTTTTGAGGAACCTCCATATTATTTTCTATAGTGGCTGTATCAGTTTACATTTATACCAGCAGTGTACAGGAGTTTCTTTTTTTCCACACCTTCTGCAACACTTGTTATCTCTTGTGTTATTAATGATAGCCAATCTACCGGGTGTGAGGCGGTATCTCATTGTGATTATTATTTGCATTTCCCTGGTAGCTAGTGAAGTTGAGCATCTTTTCATATACCTGAGGCATTTGTATGTCTTGAGAAAATTGTTCAGATCCTCCGCCTATATTTTTAATTGTATCGTTTTTTGTTGTTGAGTTGTATGACTGCTTTATAGATTTTGGATGTTAGCCCTTATTGGAGGTATTGTTTGTAGGTATCTTCTATTTGGTTGGTTGCCTTTTTGTTTTGTTGATGATTTCTTTTGCTGTGCTATTTTAACAATATTAACTCTCCCAATCCGTGAGCACAGGACTATCTTTCCATTTCATTGTGTCGTCTTCAGTTCCTTTCAATAATGTCTTCTAGTTTTCAGTACATAGGTCTTTCACTTCTTTTTTAAGTTTATTCCTAGGTATTTTATCCTTTTTGTTGCAATTACAAATGGAATCATTTTCTTTTTTTTATATTTCATTGTTAATATATAGGACTGCAAATATTGTATATAGTTTTTGGATTCTGCAACTTTACTGTATATTGTTTTTAATAGTCTTAGGATTTTCTTTATATAGAATCATATGCAAAAAGTGACAGTTTTACTTCATTCGTAATTTGGATGCCTTTTATGGCTCTCACCTCATTGCTTGGGCTAAGACTTCCAGTACTATGTTAAATAACTGGTGAGAGTTGGCATCCTTGCTGTTCCTGATCTTAGAGGAAGAGCTTTCAGTTTTAAGGTGATATTTTTGACTTTGGTTCTAAATTTGATCGTCTTTTCCTATCACAACTCTGATGAAATTTTTGGGAGAGGTAGGAGGCCTTCCTGCTGCTTTTTCTATCACCCTATTCCTACACCAATACTTAGTTACTGATTTCATCCATCACCAAGTTCGTTCAGCTTTGCCTTCAAAAACAGATCTTAAATCTAATCACTTCTACCACCACCACTGCTAACTACCCCAGTCCAGGCTACTTCCATCTGTTCTCTGGACTGTAGTAACAGTGTTCTCCTCGGCCCTCTTGCTTCCATTGTTATCCTCCCCCAATCAGTTCTCCACAGCCAAAATGGTCTTTAAAAAATGTCAACCAGATCATGTCATTTGCCTGTATTAGAAAACCACTCTGGTTTGTAGTGTCAATAATCCATCTTCTAATTGGTTGTTGTTAGTTCTTGAACAAATTTTAACTTGAAAATAGTCATTGTGTTTCTTACCTTTTTCCAGGAGGAATAACACAGCATGCTGGGCTCTGGATTTAAAGCTGAGCGTTTACGAGTCAATTTGAGATTAGTTATAAACCGTCTTAAACTTTTGGAGAAAAAAAAAAGTGAGTAATACTTGATCACCTTACATTTTCTTTCCCGAAATGCATCACTGAGTCCTAGCACCCCAATATTGGCTTTTTCAGGCTACTACTGTGAAGTCTTAGGTATTCCATATCCTTTAAACTTTGGCTATATTTCTGCTGTCCTTTGTGACTGGTTCTACTGAATCACTTTGTTGCCAGGAAAGGGACATACTCTTGCTATGCAATAGATAACATGACTTCTGAGGTAGAAATTTCTGGCTACACAAATAATATGGTCACCTAGATAGAGCAGCAAATTCTAGACTAGGTGAGATGGGACTAGATTTGCTAAGAGAGAGTGAGCTAGGATGTAGTAGAAAACACCCACTTCTCTCTGTTGAGGTAGAGGTCTCCTTGCAAGCCAGGGCCTAGTGTATTACTGCTGTGTGAGTAGAGTGGGATTTGTGCCTTAGCGGAACTGGCCCAGAAAGCAAGGAAAGAGATTGCTGACTATCTGGCTGCTGGGAAGGATGAACGAGCTCGCATCCGAGTGGAGCATATTATACGAGAAGACTACCTTGTGGAAGCCATGGAGATCCTGGAACTCTATTGTGACCTGCTGCTGGCTCGGTTTGGCCTCATCCAGTCAATGAAGTAAGATTTTTTTGGTCTCTTTTATTTTCTTCATTGATGTATGATTGCTATAGAAAAAACTGCACATAATTAATGTATACAGTTTGATGGGTGTGGACATATGCATACACCTGTATTACAGATACCACAATCAAGGCAATAAATGTTTATCACCTCCAAAAGTATCCCCTCCCCCCTTTTTTGTAAGAGCACAAGATGGGATCTACCCTCTTACCAAAAAATTTAGCACACAATACAGTATTGTTAATGACAGGCACGGTGCTGTTCAGATCTGTAGGATTTATTCATCTTGGATAACTGTAATGAAGTAAGATATTTTGATCAAAGACCTAAATCAGATTACCTCTGGAATTTGAGAAAGGAGTAATAGTGGTCTCTTTCTACATGTATGGGGTTAGTACTAAGGTACTGTTTCACATGGACCTTTTTCCTATATCTGCACAAAGGCATGATCTCAGTGTAGACAGCTGTTGAAAATATAGAATCTTAAGAGGCCTAAGTTTGAGTTTTGGGTGAACCATTTTTCTGACTTTGTGACCTTGGGCTTGTCATTTAGTTTGAGTTGCCCCAGAAGTAAAATAAGGTGATGAAAATAGCTAGAAGTCTAGAGTTATCGAAAATTTAATGAGATTAATGAAATACCTTTAAAGGCTATCAGGTATATGATGTGAATATTAGGGTTGTTGGTTTGTTTCAAAGAATGTTAAATTCTGTTTTTTCCCTTAATTAGGGAGCTAGATTCTGGTCTAGCTGAATCTGTATCTACACTTATCTGGGCTGCTCCTCGACTTCAGTCAGAAGTGGCTGAGTTGAAAATAGTGAGTATAACCAGTTTTAGTGATGTCTGGTTTTTCATGTTGTTAGAAAGGTTGGCTAACATAAGTCATTTCTGCTTATTTGACCAGGTTTTTTATACCCTTCTCATGCTGCTTTTGGCACAGGCTGTGTAAATTTGTTTCTTCCTCCTTGTCAGGCCTTATCTCATAAAATAGAAGAGCGTTTTGCAAACTTGAATCATTTTTTTAAAGAGCAGAGTTTCCTATATCCTCAGTTTTGTCTTAAATTATGTTTATTGTAATATGTTAACTTAAAAAAGTCCTTTCAAAGTGAGAGACAGTAAGCACTTGAGATCAATAAGAATAGCTATTCGAGATTCACTGATTCAGGCAGAAAAGCCCAAATAATGTTCATTAGGAGACAAAGGCAATGGGTATTTAAGAGAAAGGGAACAGTTATATCAATAAAAGGAAGGTATTTCTATTGGTGCAGATAACATAGTGATGTTAATTCTAAACAATATTTAAAATTTTCAGTCCACTAGTCATAGTAACTGCTTTCTTATTATCTTTGCAAACAGTGTTTTGGGACACACTGTTGCCCTAGGGCCAGTCCAAAGGTTATTTTGCCCTGTTATAGCATTCCGAAGATCTGAGGAATAAGACATGCAAGGCACTTCTTTTGGCATGGCAGCTCTAGCTTCATTTAAAAGTGGCATCGTTTATTATATTTATTTTTGACAAATGTTAAATTTAAGCATATACAAATAGAAAACTTCTTATACAACTGCAAACTAGTAAAGTTAAAATAACATTAAGGTAACAGATGTTTTGCCTTATTTATTTCACAAATACTTATTGAGCAGATGTTATGAAATAGGTGGGCACTGAGAGTACAGTGGTGAGCAAAACAGGAAACCCACTTTACTCTTGTAGCTTAGAGTCTGGCAGAAGAGACGATTAAAAATTTGTCTGCCGCAACACAGATATGGTACCAACTCAGTTGAAAACAATTCACGTGAGTTGTTTTCTTTCTGTTTTCTCTACATTTTTGCCGATTTGTTTTATTCTCTAGAAGATTGTCTCAGTCTTATCTCCCAATACATGTTTTGAGAGTTCCTTCTGTTTTTATTTTTTAAGAGCTCTTTAAATATTCTCTGAATATTTTATATATTCTATTATTTTTGTATTATGGCTACAATGTCTTTAAATTCTCTGAGACTACGATGGTTTCTTTTTAATCTTATTTCTGTAACGTTTATTTTCTGTTTCTTAGATTTAGACAATTTTATAGTAGACACTGTTCTCCAAATTTTGGTGATCTTTGATTGTTGGTTTATATTTAGAGTGAAGCACTAAAAAGAGATTGGAACCTCTGTGTGCTTGGATGGGGCTTATTGCTAAATGCCTTTATTGTTGAATGATCTGACTAAGCCCTTTCTTGAGAGAACTCCAGACTGTCAAGAACTAGTTTTCTTTCCTTGGATAGGTCATTTTTCTCAGACAAGAATCCTCTTATCTTCTACCTGGAGGGTATAAGCCGGCTACCAGCATTTCTGAGGGCCCAGAGGATAAGAAAGCCAAAAGTCTCACTCCTCTCTTATAGAAGACTTATGCTTGCTTTTTGTTTTCATAAATATCTCTGCTGTACTTGGAGTCCAGAGTCCCTTTAACCTCCCCAGAGAGTAAACCTCCTATATTCTGATAGGGTAGGGAGAATAATAATAGAATTTTGTGGGCAGAGGAATGGCAGAGAAGGGACAACTTAACCTCAGTCTTGTTTTTAGTCTCTCCTGTACTCTTTATATCAAGATTAATTCCAGATAAAGCAAAGATTTGCATTTTTTAAAAATGAAACCATAAAAGAACTAGTAGAAAACTAGGCAGATTAAAAAAATAATCTCATTGAGTAATGCCATCAAACCCAAAAGCCATAAAAATGATGTTAATATTAATATTAAAAAATAAATAATATGAAGCAAAACAAAAGTCATTATCAGAAGACAAATGACAAACTTATTAAGTAGTACGTATCCCTGAAAGTCTATGTATTGATCAGAGAGTGCCCCCACACTGAGCTCCCAGGTGTTGGGACCACTGTGGTCCAGTGCCACTGTCATCTCCTGACTGGACTGTTGTAGTAATTCTTGAATGTTCTTCTTATATTTACTTTGGTTTTCTTTAATTTATGTACCATTCCATTAGAACAACTGAAGTTTCTGTTCAAAACACTGATCTCATCCTGTCACTACCCCTTGCTTTAAAGCCCTTTAGTATCTTTCTCTTGTGCTTGTGTTAGGAACAAAACTTGTAATGTGGTTGACATAGCCCTGTATTGTCTGGCCTCCTTTTGCCTTAATTTCCTACCACATTCCTCCCTCAGGCTCTGCACTAGAGGCTTACTGACTTTACTTCAGCTTGAGGATTGGCCCTGTTTTTCCACCTTAGGCCTTTGCACATGCTTTTTTTCCCCTCCTGAAATGCCCTTCCTTCCATCTTGTTTAGTTAACTATTAATCATCCTTTACATTTTGGTGAAGCATCACTTTTTTCAGGAAGCCTTACTTTTTTTCTTTATCTCTTCTTGTCCCTCTCTCTCTCCTCCCTCTCCCCCTACTCTTTAAATTTAAATTTATTGGGATGACATTGGTTAATAACATATGAGTTTCAAGTATAAAGTTCTGTAATGCATTATCTGCATATTGCATTGTGTTCACTCCCTATAGTTAGCTGATTTTTCTTAATCAGATTTGATTCTGCTGTCATAAGCTGTTGATAATATGTTCCTTGATGGCAGTTAGCTGCATATGTATCTTTATTTGTGTGACCGAGTAATGACTGTTCTCCCCAGAGACTGTAAGACAATGTCTGTTTTTGTTCATGGTATTTACAGTGTATATTATACAGCTTATAATAGAGTTTGGCACATAGTTGTAGCTCAGTGGATGGATGCATAAACAAAAAACTAAATAAGTCTATACCCCTTAAAGTTTTACAGGGCCCAGTTATTTGGAAATCCTGTACTAGAAGCCTGTTTACTGTTGATAGGAGGAAGCTTGAAGCAGTCTGTTGGAGTAATTTCCACTTCTATTTATTGTTTCTTTTTCTCTGTAGGTTGCTGATCAGCTCTGTGCCAAGTATAGCAAGGAATATGGCAAGTTATGTAAGACCAACCAGATTGGAACTGTAAATGACAGGGTAACGAACATTCTTGCTAAACTTGAAGCAGTGGGCAGGGTGGGGACTGGTTATTTTATTGGCTGCAGTGATTCTAGCGAGTCTCACTGTGTGGTAAAGTTAATCCAGGCTTGCGCATTTCATAGTGAGAAGAAGGCTCTCTGGTGGGCAGGGCAGTCAACTCATCCTGGCCCTATACTTCTGATCGTGAGGCTGTCATTCTGTGTTATTCCTTATTTGGCCTCTGTCCTTTGTGCCCCTTGTAATTTGTGGAAGTAGAAGTAGAAGTGAGGTGGGGATGAATTCAAATGTGGAAGGCAGCGGTATTAATCTTTTACCAATACATGGGTCATATGTAACCAGAGAATGAGAGAAATACATAGGTCTTGCAATAGGCTTTGTGACTGGCAAAAAAATCATTTAACTGGTCTGAAACTTTTTCTTCTCAATTTACCTTTAAAATGAGAGGAACAAAGTTTAAAAGTGAGACAGGTACTAGGCTTAGGCTGATTGGTATAGATACCTCTTAATTCTGTGCTTTTACTTACAGTTAATGCACAAACTGAGCGTGGAAGCCCCACCCAAAATCCTGGTGGAGAGATACCTGATTGAAATTGCGAAGAACTACAATGTGCCCTATGAGCCTGACTCTGTGGTCATGGTAAGTTTATTATTATTTTTCAATTTGAAACAGGCACTGTTACATGGTAAGTTTAGAGTCTTTCAGAGTACATAGGAATGGGTCTTTGAAAAATACCCATATTCTTTGCAGTAAAAGTTGTGTATGAAAGGTTAAGCCTTTGTCCAGTTAGTGCCTTTTTAGGTAATAATAAATATTCCTGCATATCTCACTATTTTTAAGGACCACATGAAATGAATGACAAAGCATTTTGAAAAGGTACAAAGCTTGATACAAATATAAAATGGTATTCTACTTTTTGTTGAAGTTCAGGAATTGTGAATCTCCCTGTGGGTAGCAAGAATGCCCTAAGACCCAGAACAGATCTTGAAACATTTATTGGGCACCTGAGTTGTGCCAGACAATGCACAGAAAGCTGAGAATACAGATAATAAAGCAAAGTCCCTGTCCTGAGAATCTTACAGTGTCAGGGGGGCAAATATGCAAGTAATAATCATTCAGCAGTTAAGGTTGATGGGGGTATAGTAGATGCTTTGATATGTTGCTTAGACAACCCCAAATATACACACTTCAGGACAGAAGCATTTATTTCCCCCAGCCTTGGAGAGTATTGGTGACTGGTAGCTCATACACAGCTGAGTATCCCTCCAGCAGTGGCCTTCAGAAGAGAGAGCTTCCTTACCTAAAGCCTTTCCTGGGAGCAGCTTATATTTAGCAATTGGTCAGTACCAGAGTTTAAAGATTCTGTCCCTTTGATACAGTTTGAGACACCTACTATGCACCCATCCTGGCTCAAGACCTCTCTGGGGAATTGGCTGAGGCCTTTGACTGCATGACAACTTCTTCCTTTGCTTAGCCCTGCTTCCTTCACTTCTTCACATGTCATTATCCCCAGTAAACTTCCTTCTTGCTAATCTCCTTCTTGGAAGCTAGCCTGTGGTGTGGGCTGATACGAGTTTCTCTTTTTTTCAGGCAGAAGCTCCCCCTGGGGTAGAGACGGATCTTATTGACGTTGGATTCACAGATGATGTGAAGAAAGGGGGCCCTGGAAGAGGAGGAGGAGGGGGTGGGTTCACAGCACCAGTTGGTGGACCTGTTGGAACAGTGCCAATGCCTATGCCCATGCCCATGCCATCTCCAAATACTCCTTTCTCATACCCGCTTCCAAAGGGACCAGTAAGTATACATATAAGTGTGGATGTAAGCTCTAGAAAATGTAGCAAAAGATGACAAGTTGGCTTTGTAAATACACTCAGGTATTGTAGGTTGTCAAGAGGATTTAGCAGTAAGAACATTTGGTATTAGTTTAATGATCATATTGTGGGAAAAAAATCATTGGGATTTAGAGAAAGTCTTTTGGTTCAGCTATAAATAATGCAGTGGGAAAATCTGGGGAGAGGGTGCTAAAAAGGCTCATTTTCATGTAGTTTTTTCACCCAACATCTTTGGGACCCGGTGCAGGCATACTAGTAACTTTTTCCAAAAATGAATAATAATCATTTATTACACTTTTTATGAAATCCAATTTTACTCTAGGTCATTGGATAGAAATAGTTACATTTCTATGGCATCTTATCAATATTATAACGAAACCATGTTATCTGAGGACCTTCTGTATATGTATATGTATTTTTCCTTTCCCATACATCTCAAGAAAATTGCAAATTGCAGGGTCTTTGATGTTGCCTTTCTTCTCTTGCAGTCGGATTTCAATGGATTGCCAATGGGGACTTATCAGGCCTTTCCCAGTATTCATCCACCTCAGATACCAGCCACTCCCCCATCGTATGAATCTGTAAGTGCCTGAGCCTCTTTTATAAGCAGCAAGAGAGCGAATCCCATGAAGAGAACATAATAATGGCCACAGGGAAGGCAAAGTTTTGATCAACTCCTAGTACTGGCATCGTTCTTGCTTTGGATTCTTGTGTTGCTTTAACATTACTTTGGAAATGGGGTGTGGTGGCAGCATCATTGGTGGCAGTGCTTTGTCTGCAGTTCAGCCAGGAATCAGGAGGGAGCTGCAGATCTCTTAGAAAGTTTTGGTAGGGCACTTAACCAGTTTTTTTTGGGTGGGGGGGAGAGGGGGGACTGTGGAGAATCACTTGGTGCTACAATATCATAATTAAAATACCAGTTTTATAAGTTCTCAGTACTCTGTAAAAGCATAGTGATCAGATTTTTGTTTTATACAGAAGTATCTAGATAGTAAATTTTAGCCTGTAGCATTAATTTTTCATTTTATTTTAGTTAAAACTTGCTACTAGTAGCTAATATGATAATGCCTTGAACTATTGGCAGTTTTAACAGCTTTTAGAATCAGATGACTTGGTTTTTGCAAGCCTTTGTGTTCTCAGTATGTACCTTTTGAGACCTGTTTCCACGATACATTACTGAGAAAACAAAATAGTATGGCATTTGCCGTGGAAATCATTCATCTAGGGAGAGTCCCCTGTTCTTGAGCTTGCCAAGTATTCTTTCCTTTGGTTTTTATGTTGGGCCTGAGTTTTTCTTAGGTTTCTGTCTTGCACGCATTGAACCATTGCAACAACTGTTTCTAGGAATGAGTTAGAAAAACTTCATCAGTATTTGAGAACTTGGTTCTTGGAGATGAATTCAGTGGTTTAGTGCTTTCTCTCTGCTTGGAAGGTGAAGGTATCAGTATAAGGAGGTGTTATGGTATATGTAGTAAAGACTTTTCTTTTTCTCTGCTTGGCAGTTAAGAATTCAACATGATAGCTGTCTGGAAATTCAGGAACGAGTGGAGGGGCAGTTTCTTTGGAGCAGGTTCTGTTGCTTTTGCTGAGCAGCTTAGCTTTTGGAAAATGCAAGGGCTCGTAACCTGTTGGCACTTTCTCCTCTGGTAACAGTCTTTGTGTTTCAGGTCGATGACAATGCTGATAAGAATGTCTCTTCTGCACAGATTATTGGTGAGTGAGTCAGAAACCCTCAAGGCTCAGTGCTGATTTTTGTTTTCTCATTATGCTCCTCTCTCAGACTATTTTCCTGTCTGTGGCATTCAGTCCACATGCCCTGCCCCTTGTCCAAAGGCAGGATAGCAAAAATAGAACTCAGGATTTCCCTTTTCCAAAATGAAGAGATCTTCCTTGGCCCCAAAGACTCTCCCAAGTTCCCTGTTTCTGTTAGTGGTGTCAATCTTTTTCACTCATAGCTTTTCAACTTCTGGTTTTCAGTTACTCTCAAGTTTATATTCCTCTTGCTTCAGCTTCATTGTGCCTGGAAATATTTAAAAAGGGCATTTAAGAGGGGTAAATATACACAAACCATAAGTGAATAGCTCAGCGACTCTCCAAAGAAGCAGGCATGCTCATGTAGCCACCCACTCAAACAGTAAACTGCCCAGTACTCCAGAAACCCAGAGGGCGTATATTTTTTAAAATTAGACATTTGTTTTATTGAGGTATAGTTTACATCCAAAAATACACAAAAGTCTGTATTTTGATGAGTTTTGATGTGTGGGTATATGCGCATACACACTATGTGTGATATGTAACCACCACCTCAGTGAAGTGTAGAACATTTCCCCCCAGGAAAGTTCCCTTGAGTTCCTTTCCAGAGTCAGCTCTACTCCTCTACCCCAGACGTGAGCACTGTTCTTTTTTAAAATTATAGTTTGCCTGTTCTAGCATTTAGCACTAAATGGAAACAGCAGGTAGGAAGGGGTGACTTTAACTTGTAAAATACAAAACAGAAGACTAGAAATATAGAGCAGATCCTATTATATCAAATAAGATTAATGTTAACATTTCTTAAATTTTTTTCCCTTAAGCCTTTTACAGCTGTTCATTCTAGTACTACTCCTTGGACTTTGTTATGGGAACAGACCTTTGTCAAAGGGGACAGTTTGTTTAAATGGATGCTCATGTGTACTTACCTTTAGAATTAAGTATTAATCATTTAAAAAAACTAGTTTTCTCCTATAATTTTTGGTGGTTTTATTTTTTCTGCCCAAGGGGATTGAGGGCTTTGAGGATCTCAGCCACATGGCTTTTGTAACACTGTGCTCCTTGCCTTAATTAGGTCCTGGACCCAAGCCAGAAGCCTCTGCAAAGCCCCCTTCCAGACCTGTGGATACCTACGACAACTTTGTACTACCAGAGTTGCCATCTGTGCCAGATACACTACCAACCACATCTGCTGGTGCCAATACCTCAGCATCGGAGGACATTGACTTTGATGATCTTTCTCGGAGATTTGAAGAGTTGAAAAAGAAAACATAGGCCTCTTAAACCAGGCAAGTTTGGGAGTTGAGACCGAGCAGTTTCTCCTTGTAACAAAGAATCTCCATGAAATTCCGTTTCATCTCTTAACCATTACGGAGCACACTCTTCCTCTGGGCTCTCTTCCTGCTCTACCAAATTCTGCTGCTTTCCAGTTCTTTATTGCTCCTAAGAGACGAACGACTGAAGACACTATGAGGCCGAAGCAGCTGTCTCCTGTGAGCTGTGCTTACCCGTTTCCCATCAGTGAGATCCCAGGTTCTCGCCTCACCTGTTCCACCATCCCTCCACAGGGGAGTGAGAAGGTAAAAGCATTGTGGGAAAAGCTGCCAAAGATGGCTGGACACTGGAAGAGAGTACTTCATGAAGTATCCCCACCTCGTGCTGAGGTTCTAGACTTAGAAACAGTTCTCTCTGTGTAGAGGGATTTGTGGTGAGTGAGAATCAAGGCCAAGGTGTGTATTTTTTTCCACTCATATGAATGGGAGAGAGAAAATGACTCAGGAAGCCACTGTAACAGTCCTTGGAAGCTGGGTCCTCTCATTGGCTTATACACTACTCCTTGCTGCAGGGCACAATTCCACCTGGGTCCAGTTTATTTGGAAAGTTGAAGTCCTCTCAGTTCTGCTGGATTCTCAGGGAGCCCTCTGTGGCCTTTTGCTTTATTTGCGTGCTATGTTTCCCTTTTACCAGAGGGCAGCACTGTATAAATTCCTGTTGTTCCCATAGCATGTTCTGTTAGACTGCATTACTGATGAAGGATAAGTCACATATTGGGCACTTGTCACCATTCAAGGCTAAGGTGGGCTTCCAGTTGCCTTAATAAAAGTATTCAAGTCTCTTGAATAGTGAGCTGGAAAGCCTAAAGAGAAGAGGGGTTCCTGTTTTCATTTGAAAACTTTATATGATTAAGAGAACCTTTAAAAAGTGATGTCAAGATTTTGGTGCCCATGTGGCTAGTTGTTTGCAGCTTTTCTCAATGGATGAGACTCTTACTCTTCTAACTTATGTGCTCCTTTGTCCCCTAGCTAAGGCCATCCTTTCCCACAGGTTTGGCTTTGGGATCAGAAGATATGACTTTGGCTTCTGTTTATCTGTACATATCTGTTTCAAGTATCTTTTCTTTAATGGTTCTGATTGGTTTGTATCATAACTTAGTAGCTGATAATAAAGTTAAAAATTCTGTGCCCTGCTTTCTCCACTGGTTTGGTCAAGTGATGTGCAAATTCACGTTTTAGTGGGAAGGATGTTAAGCAAGTGACCCATGTTGGGCCAGACCTTACCTTTGGCTGCTCCTTGGGTGACACAGATGCCTCTCTCAGTAAAGAGCCTGTTTCAATGTCTGCAAGCCTAGGTAGCATCTGTGCGTTTGCTTGGTTACTCCTCTCCATCACTGTAGAGGCTTCTGGCTTGGGTCCAGAACCTAATTAAATTAGAGCAAGGAGCACAGTGTTACAAATGCATTCCTCATCAGCCAGATCTCATGCATGTATGTTTAATAAGCTGAAGTGAGCTCACTTCTGACTCATTCCTGTTTCCCACAGCCATCCTGGAACGTGGGTTGTGAGTATTCTGTTACTTGCTGCTTGGCAGCAAAGCTTGTTTATCCTGTCACTTTTGTAGCATTAACCCTTTCCCGACAGTGTCAAGATCCATAAACATAAGAACTTTCAGCCAAGGGGATTTTTATTTCTCACTGACTTACAAAATTAAAGTGTATTGTAAATGTCTATAATTTTCTAAGCTATGCTATGCAAAGGTAATTAGCAAGGAGGTAACAGGTTTAAGATAGTTCGTCTTTTAAAACTTTAGTGTCAGTGCCCATTGCTGTCATGGCTGTTTACTCACAAGTGTTCCGGTGCCGCTGGATTCCTAACAAACTCGAGAGCTTCTGTAGCAGCATATCTGTTAGTGTAGCTTCTTTCCAAGTCTATTGGAAGATAAAAGGAGAAAAGCAGGGAAATTGAAATTGTTGCTAATGTTGGAGGGAAAAAAATACCAAAAACTAAAGAAAAAGTAAATACAAGTAGTAAAGATACTGTTTCCTTAAATGATTTGCTGTCAGGCACTGGAGTGTTTCTGCTACTGAGTTGAGGGCCAGCTATTTATAGGACAGTAGATAGAATGTTATATAGTCTTGGTAAACTGGATTTCCTAGGAAAATAGTTGGCAGAACTATGGAGACTAATAAAGGGAATATGCTGATACGGTGTATTACATCAGCGTGTAATCTTAAGAGCAGCTACATTTGAGCTTTTCTAGTATAAAATCATGATACAGTTTATAAGGTAACTCCCACTTTTCAAAAGTTCTCTTTATGCCACTTTACTTTCAGGAAAGACCTATATTAGTACCTGTTTTCGCTAACCAAAGAAATTCAAAGAGGACTTTTCACTTTTACGTAAAAAGCAAAAAGTGAAAATAGTGTTCAGTGTTTGTGCAGTGAGCTGTTACAGAGGCAGCACACACTGGTGAGTGAAACTACACTGTCCATACATTATTTTTACTTTAGATGAGCTGTGTAAGCATATCATTGCTGCTTTTACTATGTTAGTGTTATTTTAGATTTGATATGTTACTTGGTATGATTTGGTAGGTTATTTTTTGGGTCTGGAAAGCTCAAAAATTTTTCCCATGCAAATTAATGGTAATTCTTCACTCATGCCCTATTGGCTTTTGAAAGTTTTATATGAAATGCTCTTTTGAGCCTCAGAGTTACCTACCTTAAAGGACTTTCTTTCTTTACCAAAGGACATTAGAATGGCAGAAACAAAAAGGTTAATGATCACAAGTACCAGCAAAATGACACTGCTGATGATTAGAAAGGAGCCCAGGACTGGGGCTAAAGCAATAATCTGGAAAGACAATAAAACACTTTGAGTTTAAAGACTGACAGTTTAATTCCTACTTTAAAAATGTAAATTATATGTTAATAGATATACTCACATAAGAAAATACTTATGGCTGGTGGAAATTAGGGAGAAAAGCAAAACTTGAAAACGAGAATACTTTGGACTTTTGAGAAGAGTAAGAATGACTGACTCTGAGGGTGTAAAAATAGTTGTGCCCACAGGGCTTTCACAAGAAGCAGGTGAGTTGCAAAATTAAAATGATTCAAAGCCCATGTGAGTTTTCGCAATTCTGGAAAATATATTCAAATATGGAAGCTTTAAGAAGTAGCAAAAGCATATAAAAAGAATAAATACCAGAAACGATGAAAACTTCACTGCCATTCCAAAAAACAACACTGTGAACACAGGAGGATTCCCATATTTAACAAGTAAGCCATAAACTAGCTTTTATTTTAGTATTTTTTTTTATTGTTATCTTTAAAAGTGTAAGTATTGAATTTTGCCATTCTTTTCAGTATAAAGAGATCTTCCTAAAATTTAGGGCTTACTAGAATGGTTTCCATAACAATCTTAATTTAGGTGTTTATTTTCCCTTGATATTTATTGGCTTTGTTGCCACTAGGGTGTTGCTTAAAAAAAAAAAAAAACAAGAACAAAAACCCAACAACTTAAGAGGATGAATATTTAACAATAAATACCACTGTGATGGACATCTTCTTTACAACAAAACATTTCCTAGTACCAGCCTATCGCCCACTTAATTAAAAGTGCTTAATTATATCAAGTTTGGGCAAGCTCTGAGTTTGTAAGACTTTTCTCAAAAACTACATTTTCACATTGTGCAATTATGCAATTATGATTAGAGCAGAATAGTTTTTAATGTCAAAAAGGTGTTAGCAAAAGTTTATTATTCTGATTGTTACTTCTTAATAAGAACTTCAGTATATAAAGTCTTCATTCTTTAGGACTGGGGCTAGAACCACAACAGAATTCTTAGGAAGGTGGTAACTTTCCACGTTAGAAACTATGTTAATTTACCCATTTTAATTACTAACCTTTGAAATCTAGATTATAATCCTTGATAAAAATCTTGTCAGTGTCACTAATTTGAATTTTTTTTTTCTTCCCTGATGAAACCTATAGATGCTAGTGTTTGAGACCCAAATCCTCATCTAGGTTTCCTACTTTTTTATGTTGAATAGAAAGATTTGTGTTGGTAGTTCCTGGGGGAAAATAGGCTCTCTGAAATGAGTATTTATTACCTGTAAACGGAATTACCACAGTTCTTCCTGGAATTGTACCTCCCTAATTTTTTTGAAGTCACTTCCACTGTACCCTTCAAAGGGCCATTAAGAAAGCCGCAGCAACGCCATGCTAATCTGGCAGGTATGAGAGCACACATTCAACTCCACTGTCCTTGGCAGTAACACTAGGATGTAAGAAGTGAGGGAGGTGGGACTACGTGCTTAGAAAAGGACAGATTTCTGAAATAGCCACTCAAAAGCCATGTGCATATGGAGTACTTTAAACCAGAAGAGCAAAGAATCCAAGTCCCTCCCTTTTCCAGTGTGCAGTGGTGTAGGGGCTGGTTTTATAAAGTTGCCCCCTTGTTAGATAAATTAAACCAATAGAGTTCTGCGGGGAAAACGAGATGGGGGTTTTAACCTCTTTGTGATCAGAGATTCCCATCAGGAGACCAACAAAAGTCACTGCTGAGCTGATGAAAGTTCGGTAGTCGGAGATGCTCCCTCCAAACAGCAGGTTAAACTGAAAAGGAGAAAGACCAGTCAGCGGGTGGAGAGCAGTGGAGGTGACTGCAGTTCTGTCCTGAGGTGCGTGACCATGATGCCAACACAGAACCAAAGGAATGGAAATTAAAGAAATTCTTTAGTGGCCATTCTAATTACTATGCCTAAAAAATTAGTAAAATTCCTTTGTAATTACATAGTGTTTTCATATAAATTTGACCTTAACATTCTTGTGAGCTAAATTTTATCCCCATTTTAGAGATGAGACAAACGTCTGAGTGTTAGTTATCCTGCTAAGAAAGCATGGAACTACAACTAAAACCAGCTTTCTTACTCTACCTTTTCTCCAAAACTCATTGCCAACTTGAACTGATGATTTTCTCTGTAGTGACCTTTCTGAGGGAAGCAATGTGATTCTAAGACCACAGCACTTAGGAAAAGACACTGTGAAAGGGGACTTACAGCAATGGCATAGCCTGTCAGCAGGATCAGGATGACCAGCAAGAAGCCCATCACCTCGTCCCGGGCTTTGCTGAGTGTTCGGTCAATGACCCGCAGCCTGGGGTTATGATGCAGCAGGTTCCATAGCTGAACAGTTGCCAACAGAACCAGGAAGCTCATGAGGTAAATGATGGCTGAGTTCACTGTTACTGCCTCAGAGAAGCTGATGAACCTGTGCCAAGGCAGGCCGACAGTTAGCAGGAAGTGTGTGCCGTCATCAGTTTCTCCAGTGTTTCCACTGCTCAAGTGCAGCGGTCCTTTGGGTCCTGTTAGTTCAGAGGCTTGATGTAAAAAGTCTGCTTGCCGGTGCGGCCTCCTAAATTTGTGGCTATGAGAGCATTGGCAAAAATAACACGTATTTGGTTGGGAGCTGTGCTAAAGAAACCTTGCAATGTGACCTCTCGCTGATTTCTTTACTCCCAATTAATCCTGGAAATCAACGCCAGCCTCCTCCATTGCTGTGCCTTGAGTTAAATCTCTTAAAAGGAGATGAGTTAAGGTGATGAGATGTACAACTGTGCTGGTCTGTTTTCTGTAACACACTAATCCTCTACTCTCTGGCAGTAGATAATTGATCTAATATGTTTAATAGTGCTGAGAGTAGAAAGGTAGTTAAACTAGAGGTGAGGGGTGCTACCAATTAGGGGTTGGTTTTTTTTTTTAACCAATTAAGTTTTGTTATGTGATAGATACATTCATAATTTTATGTTGCAGCAACTAGGTTACTGGGAAGGACTCCTATAGATGAGAGCAAGTTGACACTAGATCACAATTCTTTTATTATCTAAGACCTAGGCAATGCCACACAGCAGGCTGGACCCCAGCTGCCAACATCATTCAAATTGCATAGACCCACTGTTCCTCCATAAACAACCCTCTGTAAGGCCTTCCTGGGATACTGCCTCGGTCTCACACAGATCAGTGGCTGAGGCCGTTGACCACTGAAGGTTAGAAAAGCACCACGTGGCAATACTTGGTCTGGGGAGTAGATGCTCTTCCTCACGAGAAAGACCAGAGAAGTGCCCGAAGGCACCAGAACATCTTCATAAGGATGAACATCCCTACTCAGAAAACCCATTTTAGACTTAAAGGATGTACTATGTCATGTGGTTTTATTTAAACCACATGATCATTTGTCATGTCTTATCAGGCTTTATTCTTTGGCCAGGGTGCAATATAATGATTGAGTTATTGCTCTTGCTGTGTGAAAGGCAGAAGAGCTTTTCAATGTGATTAGCAGTATAAATGGCTTCTGGTTAATTGTTTTCTCTGCTGTGGACTTTAGTCTGAGTTCTGTATTTAATTCTGGTAGAACAGTGGAGGAGGAAGGTGAGTTTGGAAAAATACTTCTGTGTAATCAGGAAACGACATGGAGGAGCAATGTCCTGTGCTCCTCAGGCTCCCTCTTACCTCTCACGGTCATAGTGGTATTGTGCCATATTTTTCTTATATAGAGAAATAAGCTTCATGTCAAGCCCCAAGATGACAAAACTAGTAAGGATTATGCCCATGTCCAGAATGTTCTTTTTCATCGTGAAGAACTTCCACCTCTGCTGTTTCAGCCGGCGACCCTAAACATAGACACCATAGTCACTGCTGCTTGCCTGAAAGATGAGTTAGCTCTCTCCCTAATGAAGTGTTATGAACACTGGCAAAGCGCTCAGCCAGGGACTTGTCAAACCTAGCGGGCACAGTCGGTTATGGTCTTGGTTCTGCTCCGCAGTCACTCAGAGCTGCTGCTTACAGAAAAGATGGCCTTCTCTAACATAACTTTCTTTCGATACGGTCATTTTTCTTGTTGCTTAAACTTAATAAAAAATTATTTTCTAAAATAGTTATCAAGCCTGAAAATAAAACATTGTGTTTGGCTTAAGATATATTCTCTTCTGGGTACAATCTATGTTTTTGAATACTTGCTTTGTTCGTCGTATTGTCAGTCTCTTAACCATTACCTTATCGAGGAGTAATACAACTGTACAAAATTATTCCAGAGATTTAATTCTTTAATTCTTAAAAAGTGAAAGAGCTATCTGGAAAACCACTCAGCCTTTAACTGAGGTCAAGCTTCTGGAAAGAATCAATCGTAGCCATAATTCTACTAATAGCTCATTGTGGAGCTCCCCAAATAATATCTGGCAATCTTGAGAATCTCTTATATCTAACTAACATTTCAACTCACCTGTATGAAGCCATAGTAACAGACTAGTAGATAATAGATGACTTGTGAGACGACAGACCAGGTAGAGTCCTTCTTTGATATTTGAAGGGAAGTTAAAGTGTCTAGTCTTACAGAGGTGAAGAAAGCACCTGAATAACAACATGCGGAGTTGAGTATTTAAAACTTTGCCCTCTTCCGTTCAAACTCCTGTCTTTGACATAACCCCAGTTCTTGTATCATCAGTTTCAAATGTTTCTGAGTTTCTAAACTATTTCCTCTAGAGGTGTTATGAATATTAAATGAGATCATATATGCAAAGCAAATGGAGAAATGTGCTGATTGTACTAAAAATCAGTAGAGGGAGAAGATTATATTGTTGATCCGACAAAGAGGACAGTGTCAGTGACTTAACAGCTGTTAACAGGTGTTACCCTTACAGAATTAGAACAGCTGCAGAGATAAATTGACTAGTTATACTGTTGCAACATGATGTTCTAGAGAATTGATGACTGCAATGAAAAACAATACAGTTAAATGTAAGTGTGGCACTTTTGTTTAAAGCTATTTAAAATATATTTTCAGAAATTAGTACGATAATGCTTTGAACCATTTTGAAACTATTTTCTATGCAAAACACCAATATCTCATGAATATTAATAGTATTCTATGAATACTCAGATGTTTGCATGAAGATAGACTAAGAAGCTTCAGACTCCACCTAGAAAGACATTGTTGAAATTCTATGAAAGCACGAAAGGTGTTGTGAATGTAACTTTTCATAAAGCCTCAAAATATTAGAACTACGTTGCACCCATTGTAGTAGAAAGTATATTTTAAGAACAAAGAGATTCTTCTTTCACATAGCTAGCGCTCAAGACTGGGATTTTACCTGTATTTATTTTACCCCCATTTTTTTTGGTAGTTTCAAATAATAAAAGACCCTCAGGAATCCTTCATGCTTCATTTAGAAGTACAAGAGAAGTGGTCTACTCTGTGGGTCTGGGAAGAAAAAATTCCTCACTAGAAGTAACACCTGGTGGTAAATCAAAGGACACTGGTGGGCAGGTTCTTAGAAAAAAGGAGGACAAAGGAAGTAGAATTAGGACGGGCTTCCTGTTAAAGACGGGAATTGAATGTACCAGTCCTTTACAAAATGCCACTACAATGAAAGTGAAGGGATAAGAAAACAGAGATGAAGAGGGCAAATGAGAGTGACAAACTGTTGTAAGGTGGAAAATAGATGAATGACACTGACCAGATTCAAGAAAGCTGAACCTAAGCAGTGGAGGAAACAGAAGCAAGCTAGTTCTTACCACAAAACCCTCGAAAGGCTGAGAAACTGGAGGCATCAGGTGCCTCAGAAGGTAGAGGAGAGGGTCAGGTGGAACTGAAAATAGAATTGATTTCAAGTCCGAACATAGTTAGATCCCAGATTTTTTCTCCCTGTTACCTGTCCTGCCTTCCACTACCCAAGACTAAAGGCTTATTTTTTAGTGATGTTGAAGTACAGAGAATATGAACTCAGGTATATCTGTAAGTCTACAGGAAAAGAGAATTAAGAGTAAGTCTACATACTGCACGGTGAGAAGCTTCCCAGTCTCTTCCTTAGCTGACTCTGAGAAGTCTAGAGGCTTATATACATCCTCAAGGCGAGAGTTTGGAGGGTCCCCCTCTGAAAACTGCCCAAGAGAAAAAGACATACCAGTTGACAAGCTCTATCCATGCACACAGAGCTGCTAATTAGCACTTGCTCTTTTTAAATAACAAAAATATGAAAGAACCACCAGATAGTTAAACCTCTACCATTGAAAACTGGAGAGCAAAACAAAATTTAAAAAAAGCTCAGAGGAATTAGAAGGAGCTGATAAAAACGAACCTATAATACCTTTGGAGTTGAGAGGATATTGATTCCATAAAATTACAGGAGACTATGAAAAACAGAACACAATTTTTGGAAATTAAGATATAAAAATTCAAAATCAGATGGTTTAGAATGAAGTAATCTCACCGAAGGAAAAGATGGGAAATGAAAGCAAAACATAAAATCAGAGTCTCAGGTTCAAGAGTGCTTACCTCAAAATTCCAGGAATATCAGAGAAAGAGAACAGAAAATAGAGACATTTACAAAGAAATATGTGAGAAAAAGCCTCAGAACTTAAGGACATCCATATTCAAGGACTTAGAGGTCAGGTCTTTTCATAACTGGGGACAAAGACAATTCTAAAAACTTTTGGGAATGAGGGAATCACCATACTGCTTAACAACAGTATGAAAAGCTAGAAGGCAATGGAGCTGTACTTTAAAAAATTCTGTGAAAGACAATTGTATCCAATCCAATAAGCAAATGAATGTGATGGCAGAAAAAAAAGTTTGGGGACACGTAAAGCTTCAAAATACTGACTTCCTTTGCACCCTGCTAGGAAGTTACTGTAGGATGAGCTCTAACAAAATGAGACAGTAAACCAAGAGGAAGACGCGGGATCTAGAAGAAAGGGAGTCCAACCGAGGAGAGAGGGAGAGAGACTCCCTAGGGCGACAGCGATGGGACTGTCCCGGGTGAGAGCTCTAGAGCAGGCCTAGAGAATCGCCCGTCCAGACTACCAAACCGGTGGCGGGCCCGAGAGAGGGCGTCTTTTCAGCAAAAGATAAAAGGGGTTATGTGATACTTTTGAACAGAACGAGGTTTTTATTTCTAGGAAGAGCTTGGAGATGAATCAATGATAGAATGCATGCAAAACCAAGCAGATGAAAGAAATGATAAACTCTAGGGAAAATAAAAAATTGAAAGGAAATTGTAATACTTGGCTCATCTTTGAAAAATATCACAATAATGGAGCTACTCAATATTAACTATAAGTTTTATAACTTGGGAGAATAAGAGAAAAGGTGTGTATATGTGTGTGTTTGTTAGGGATATGTGTGGGTATGAGAAAGTTAAATCCTCATTCTCATAAAAAATACTATCTAAAACTGAAGAGTCATGAAATAGCTAATAAGCATGTTAATAATTTTTAAATCCCAAAAGAACCAGTTAACAAAGTTGAAAGTAGCAGTCTCTGGGGAGTAAAAATGAGGTGCGGAGTGAGCACTGCTAGTTTTTGCCTTGAACTATTTGACTTTAAAAATTATGTATAACAACTGTAATTAAAATGCCTTTTAATGGTATAAGATAAAGAAATTGGGACTTCTGCGATACCCAGGTCATACAGGGAAGAGAGGAGGCCTTCGTACCCACATCGTTGGATTCCAAAATCAGGGTCACTGCACAGAACAGGTTCACATTAGCATTGAAGACCACAAATTCAACAAAGAGGCTTCTAGTGCAATGGTCCAGCCAGTGGCTCTGTTCAAGATGCTGTAGAACTCTGGGAAAACAGAGGAGGACAGGGCTGCTACTGCATCAACCCTGCAAAGTGGGAAAATGCCAACATTCCTCCTACCAAATGAAAAGCTACATTTCCCATTCTAGTGTACCTGTACAATATTTATGGTTACTAATGCCCGAACTTTCACTAGTGGTAACATGAATATAAATTCAGAAGACTATAAAAAAATGAAAATTTTCACAATAGTCACGCCAAGGTTAAATGTTCAAGAAAATATATTTGGCATTTAAGGTCTGAGGTAGAATTAGTTTACATGCTATGTCAGCTGCTTAGCTCTCAGAATTCATATATAAAACCATAAGTCTCTTGCTATTTAATTTTGGCATTTGGATTTTGGATTGCGGTTTTGAAGGGCAGTATTTTCTCTGATATTTGAAGAGTACAGTTTGCCCACGCTAGAGTTACCTGAGTTTAACTGCAGCTAGAATTGAAATTGATAATGTTTTTCCAGATGAGAAAAGAAAGATTTGGCAAACCATGACATACCTCTAGTTTGAGGTTGAACAAGGAATTTATAAACTAAAAGATACTTTTCCTTAAAAGTCTTAAAAGTGTCTGCAAGTGTCATAGTACAGTAGCATTATGGTAGCTGTCAAAACTATTCAAATGGGTCCTTAATTCCTACTAATGGACATAAGCAAACACCTTGGTCCTCTTGTTTAGGGCTCAGGCTTGCTCACCTGATTGCAGTACTGGAGTTTCTTCCGAGTCTGACAACATAACCTCCTCCTGAGTAAGTGGCAAATTCCCCTTGGATGGGATAGCCACCCAGTGTCTCCTGATTCTGATAATGCCAAATGCTGTCTGACTGTGTGGTGTTTGTTTCAGGGGGCCTCCAGTTAACTCCATAGTTCTCTGTATCCTCCAGATCTTGGTGCGATAGCTTCACTTGTTCTTTGGGAGACACTCTATTTGGAAAGGCTCTGGCACCAGGAATGCGAATCTGACGAAGCAGAACATTGCCCAAAAGAAAGGAGTTCCCATCAGTAATAAATCCTGAAAAGACAGTAAAAGAAGCCATTGTAAAAACTGCCTCGTTAAGTTAGTAACGAAAAAACGCACACTTTCGCCACTATTTTTAAAAACATTTTTGGATTTTCTAGCTAATGCAACCAAATTTTAAAAAGACATGAGAGATATAATAAGTGAATTTATAAAAGATAATGACCTACATATATATGTAGCTAATGATCTAGACAGATCTCACTAGAATCAACTAAAGACATCAGCAAGATGATGGAATCAGGTCCCTTGCTTGTATCTCTCAATACTTTGGCAGCCATCCACAGATGCCTAGGTGGGAGCTTTGGGATTTAGGTAGGTGATTATGAAACCCCAGTGGAGTCCAAGACCAGTAAGTTCAGTTTTAAGAAGGGAGGTCCCCCAGGTGGCTGACTCACCGACTGTGGGCCTGGCAACAGACCTAGAAACAGCTTTGTCCTCCTGCGGACTTAGCTACAATGCCATTTGACCTTGGTCCTGCCACCAGCACCATATGCCAAAGGACCCAGGAATCGTCACTCCTGCCTGTGCCTCAGGTGTTAGGCCTGCAGATGTCAGTACCAGCTGTGGACTATGTAGTGGCCAGTGACCCAGCTCCAGCCCAGAAGCCCGGAGGCAAGCTCACCAGGCGGTCTGACCAAAGATCCTGAAACAGCCCTATAACTTCCCACTCCCAAAACAAAACATGTTACCTGGGTGAAATACATTAAATAGCTTCATTGTGGTCATTTCACAATGTATTTGCAGGTCAAAAAGTTGTACCTTAAACACATGCAATTTCTGCCAATTATATCTTAATAAATCTGAGAGCCAGAAGAAAACCTAAAACCTGTTATTAAAAAAAAAAAGGATAATTCAGCAGAGCCGGAGAAGCGGGGTAAGAGGGAGAAGGATGTCCGTGGAAGTCCCCGAGGCAGCCTCAGTACAGGAGCAGAAGGAAATGCAAGATAAAGTGACTAGAGAAAGCTGAAGAAGCAAAATTAAAAGCAAGGTATCCTCATCTGGGACAAAAGCCTGGAGATTCAGATTTCTTACGGAAATGATTGCAGAAAGGGCAAAAATATTTTAATTCTGGAGATTACAACATGGCTAAAGCAAAAATGAAGAGCAAGCAACTTCCTACTGCTGCCCCGGAGAAGACAGGTCACCAGTGACCACATCCCCGCTCCACGGGACCTTCCTCCGTGGAAGCCATCCCTGTTGCCAGCAAGCTGGATGGCTGATTAAAAGAGCTTAACTGCACGGACCTTCTAATTCCCATTTTTCCTTAATATGTTACTTCCTCACTTTTTATTTTCTTTCATTTACTAAGTCATTTGAGAGTGACAGGCTTTGCAGGTAGCAGTGGTCTGTGCTGCTATTTATTGTAAGGGAGGGGACATGTGGCGTTTTGATTAGTTTAGCAGTGCACCGATCAGAAGAACATGTTAGAGTAACATATAATAATCTACTAGAAAATAATTGTATATATTACCTAACTCCTAGTGCAGGACTGGCCCTAACAACTACCAAGCAAATTTTATGATCTTAATGTTTACTTCATCTTAATTACAGCTTTGTAGTTACTCTTATTTAATATAACCTCTATTGTATTTATTGATTTCTTCAGTATTTTCCTTTTGGATTTCCTTATAAAACAAAAGACAAGTTAGAAGAAAGGTCACATACTTCAAACACAAAGAGATGCGGCTTGAACTTGAGTGGCCTTAAACCTGTTTCAGCTTTAACAATAGGAGTTTACTTGGGCAATATTTGCCCATTCTGGTGTAACTTACGTGACCCTAGTGCTTAACAGCTGCAGGGGAAGCTAATCTTCGCACACAGTTCTATAGTTAGAATACCTTTTGTTGTTCGAGATGTGGATGAAGTATGTATGTGCACTGACTGAATTCACTTTTGTGCCATTTTTGTAAATATGATATGTTTTGCACAACCTCTAAAAAATTCAGCCAAAGTGGCTGGGTGCTAAATATAAAGAAATCAATAGCCTTCATACACCCAAACAATATTTACTTAGATGGTATAGAGAAATAAAAGATCTCATTTACAATAGCAAAAGATAAACCTCACAAGAGATGTGCGAGAATTATATCAAGAGCAATTCTGAAAATTGCTGAGGATGAGATGAGAATAGGAAAACATACTATATTCCCGATAGGAAGAGACTATCAAAAAGATATCAATTTCCTAATTTTTATAAGTTTAGTTTGTATCTGTATAAATATCTAAGTCTGTATTCACAACTAAGCTCTTAATACATAAAAGGCGACTTATCAAAACAAGCAAACAAAACCAAGCAAGCCAATGAAAGGTGGACAAGGATGGAACGACTTTTATTCTTTGCTTCAATCAATATGTATTGAGTCCTCACATATATGAGATGTTATTCTAGGTGCTGGGAACACAGTAATGGATGAAAGAGGACCCCTGTCCACAGAGAGCTCACATTTGAGGAGGGAGAAAGAGGTGATAACCAAACAATATTCACGTTAACGATAGTGCTATGAAGAAAATGTAAGTAGGATGAAGGGATAGAGAGTGTTTTGTGGAGGGAGCAGTGCTCTTCCTTTAGGAACAGTGATTAGAAAAAGTTTCTCTGAGGAAGTGGCTTATAAGAGACTAATAAAAGCAGATATCGGTCAGGGCAACAAGTTCCAAGTCCGCGAGGTGAGAGCATGCGTGGTGTATTTAAGGAGAGCACAGAAGTTTGTGTGGCTGAAGCAGAATGAGTGAGCGTGAGAGGGGTAGGAGAGGAAGTAACAGATGTAGCTACGGGCCAGACTGGGCAGGCCCTGGAAAGCTTTGGAAAGGGTTTGGGATTTTAAATGGGATGGGAATCCACTGGGAGGTTCTGAACAAGGGTGTAACAGATTTATGTTTTTAAAAAGTATAACATGGGAGGATGGAATGAAGAGCAGTAAGAGCAAAGGTAAGTTTTGCCACAGGGGAGGTGAAAAGTGCTACCTTTAGTTTTAACTTGCACTTTGTTATGAGTGCAGTTGCAAAGCCTTTCGTATGTTTCAGAGCTATGTGTATTGTTTGAAAACAATCTTCATGTGGCTGTTGGAGATGTGGGCAGACTCTTCTGCACTGCTCATGGGAGTGGTAACTGAAAGAATAACTAAGGAGAACAATTTGGCAATAATCTTTCTAAATTAAAAATGTATATACATTTTTAGCAAATCTTTTCAAGGTATTTATGTTACAGATATATTTGTACACATGTGAAGTTACATGTGTAAAATGGTATTAATGGTAATGCTAACAGTAAAAGATTGGAAACAATCTAAATATCAATAGGGAGCTGGTTATATAAATTACGGTACATCCATGCAATGGAATACTATATAATAAATGAATAAAACGTAATAGGGATCGCTGTATATATTCTGATCAAACAATTTCCAGGTAAATTGTTAAGGGAAAAAAGCAAAATCATGACAATATTTATAGTATGCTACCATTTATCATCAAGTATATTTACAAACACATAGATTACCTCTGAAAGAACATATAAAGTGGGAATGTAGTTGCCTCTTGGAAAGAGAAAAAGGGGATTATGGAATGAAGGAGGGTTGCACAATATATGCTGTTGTACAGTGAATTTTTTCCAAATTCGTTTTAGTTGTTAACAAATACTTTCATATGAAAGATAATGCTAGAGAATTGGGCTAGAGAACAGATTTGCAGTAGTTATTAAAGGACTGAGTTCTGCAGAAGATACAAGAGAAAGGTAAAAGGTGACAACTTTCAAATATGGTCTCACTTTGTACTTCCTAAAAGAAAAATATATGTAAATATGGTAAACATTTTTTTTTGCTCCCCCCAATTACGGTAAAATTTTGATCAGTTTTCCATCTCAGAAGAAAGTCGAACGGGAAAAAGCAAGCTTAAATTACTGCAAGAGAAAATTTAATTAAATCCTACTAAGAAAAAGATCCTTCCCTGTATGTGATTAAACTCTGGACTATGCTGTTTAGGAAAGTTATGTATTTACAGGACATAGGTTATCCGTCATGAACGGCTTGGGCTTCAGTGTTCCTGGAAACAACTGGACTAAGAGAACTGGGCTGCATTAGTTCTGAAAGTGAAGATTTTTAGGAGATGAAGAGAGAAACCACATTAGTGCCAATTTTTACTGCGCTTCTCCCCATGTTACTTAGTTCTATTTCTTTACATCTACAGATTGTTTTCTTAGTGTGTCCGGTAATTCATGCACACTTTGTGGTTCTAGATTAGCCAGAACTCCAACTGCCCCAGTTAATAACAGCTAACACTTCTCCAGTGACTGCTATGTGTTAACGCGCTGTTGTAAACACTTACTACTAAGCTTTTAATCTTCGTGTCAGTTTTGTACGGTAGGTCCCAAGATTATCCCCACTGTATAGATGGGGAAACTGAGGTGCAGAGGTTGAGTAATTTACCCAAGAACACACTGCTAGTAAGTGGAGAGCAATGGGGTGCATGCGCCTGGGCAGTCTGTGCTTTTGGACCTTGGTTCTGCACTACTAGTAAGTACTGCAGAGCCGAGGAGTCCAAGAAGAGAACCATGCTTATCATCATGGCACTAGCCTCAGCCACCCGTGGTTCAAATTACTTTTTCTCTAGTCAGTATTTTATTCAGCATAGACAGTTACAGACTGCAAATAGAATGTGCCCTAAACCTAGAGCTGTCACCATCTAATACAACCAGAAAGAATCAATGTGCAATGAATAGGAGTTGCCATCTGTAAAAATTCTAAATGCACCTAGTACATTTTTTTTTTTTTTTAAGGCGAGGCAATCCTTGGTTGACCTCACAGATTGCAAGGACCTTGTCAGCTTACAATCCCTTATTTTTTTATTTTTTACATCTACAGCACCTGGTCTTCCTAGGTGGTCTCCCATCCAAGTACTAATTGGGCCTGACCCTGCTTAGCTTCCGAGATCAGATGGGATCAGGCTTGTTCAGGGTAGCATGGCCATAGACCTTAGTACACCTTAAAAAAAAAAAAAAACTAAATGTTTGCTGAGATGAACATATCTTTTAGATTTTTTTCCAGGAACCTTGGAGGTTTTCCAGATCCCAACAGGAAGTCATCAAGATAAATGAATGTGACAATCTCCAAAATACAGGTTAAGATATAAGTAAAAGTGTTGGTAATGTGAAAAATATTGAACAAGAAGTATTCCTTAGGAAATATTTTTTAGCATTTCTCCAACACTGCATAGGGTAAAGCATATCAACTCCTCTGAATGGTGAGGTTCTTTGAGGAAACAAACCATATTATATATCCATCCTTTAAATCATTAGCTCCTAAGACAGTTCACAGCATTCTAGGTGTTCAGTACATATTTGCGGAACTTTCTGAACTGGATAAGCACACAGGAAAAGTTACACAGACAAGTCGGACTTGGGAAAGACTGCACATCAGGTATTATATCAAAATATCATCTGGAGCTGAGAGCTTTCTGGTTACACTTTTCCTGGTTCTGTGCTCACTGAACTACTTTCGCAGCTGCATGTGCCCTGAACCTAGAACTGTGACCCTTGTTCAAAAACTTCACAAGGAGGCAACTGGTCCCAGGGATCACTTGTTACTTTTCATCCTATAAGTGAATACATTCTCACTGTTTATCAGTCTCTTGTGAAACTCATCAGTAGGAATCAGCCCTCATGGGCCTCATCACCCTTGACCGAAGAGACATAAACCTGAACCTGCTTAGATGAGGTCCAGGGAGTGGATCCTCCGGGTGCCCACAGAGGTGTGGCCATATTGAAAAAGTCAGCTGACCTTTCACCAGTGTGCTAATGTGTCATGGTAGGGCTGTTTGGAAAAACTACACCCCACCTGGGCCCAGGACTGCTCTTACCTCTGTCATCCCCATACAGTTTAGGAAGGAGGATGTGACTGGCCCAGGGGTAGAAATGCTTAAGAAGCTTGATCTCTGAGAAACGGTGAGAAAAGCTCTTCTGGAGAGCTTGATGGAAGTAAAATCTACTGGGGTTCTGTGCAGAGTTGACTGCAGTCATCAACAGGATGAGGAAGAAGATCTGTACTATTGTAGAAGAGAAAAAAGTCATAGTCAAGTCTTTAGCTTAGAAAGCCTCTACAACTTTTCCTCATTTTTCCTAAGCCTATAGACTTTTATAGGTTGAAAACAGTCCAAAATTGGCAATTTTATATGGTTCAACCTAATAACTGTAAATAGATCAGCTCTTAGCTATATCGATTACTCTACCACTAATTACGAATTTACTTAGATATATAAAATCCCACACAAAAAATTTTATATTTTAGTTCTTAGAACTACATGCCCCTCCCCAGCCTCTCCTCCCTCCCTCTCCATTCCTTCCTTACACCCTCCCCCTCCCCGACCCCCCGCTGTCTGTGTTCCCTAGAAAGGAAGGCATGGTAAAAACAATTTGTTGTCTCTGGTCCAGGGAATCCAATAATCCAGAGACGAGCTGGGTTGAACCAGTTACCTCGCACTTACAGGATAGCCATTTTTGAAAGCATATTCATTATTCCTTCACCCTGTGAAGTGTGTAGGTCAAGTTTTGTTAATTATATTTTGTAGGTAGAGAACGTGACATTTTCGAGCACAATTAGATCTTGAGACTTCAAGTTCAGGAGTCATTCCATTTACCATACCACCTTGTTTACTGGGATTCCAAATTTTCAGAGATCTCTTAAAATGCCTTTCCTCCTCCTACATGTCCATTTTGTGCTCACTCCCACTTTGCTGGAAAACGTGCTGCATTACACCCTCCCCCTCCCCGACTCTCCGTACCCGCTGCCACTCCCTCTCCGTACCCAAAACATCTCCCGTCAGCTTGAAGAGTTTCTTCTCTTTCAAGGTTCTTTGTGGGCATTTAACTGGACTGTTCATAGCTGGGGCTACATAGATGGGGTTCTTCTTATCTCTTGAACCAGGTGATGATGAAGAACACTTTGCTGTCAAAAATTCAAATATAGGCCAACAAATGTTATATTTTATTAAGCAGTTATTTAACATTTGTTAAGAATCTCCTGTGAGTTCCTCCTGCTAAGTGTTGAAGAAACAAAAAAAAGCTACCGAGTGCTTCTCACGCTATCGTGAAGGCTGCTTTTAAGAAACTCCAATCCATCAGAGACTGATTCAATACTTTTGCAAAATATAATAAAAATTAATTACTAGAAAAATGAAGTAGAACAGAGGCCTATAAAATACAAGCCCTATTTTGGAAATTAGATTCAGCAGGCCTAAAGTCAGTCTGCTCAATTGCTATAAAAGTTTCTAAATTGCTTACTCTGAATTTCTGCACTTATCTTGGACTAGACACAAACAATTCTAACCACGTGCTGGGATCAAATTTTGACTGTATAGTAATCACCTGGCAATTTTGTTAAAAGCAGGTTCTGGGGTGAGGCTTAAGATTCTGCATTTCTGACAATTCCAGGATATGCTGGTGTTACTAATCATAACATTTACTGCCACAGAACTAATCCTATTTTACATTCTGTTTGAAGTGACACTGGTGCCTTATCACTCTGAGGAAGTCAAACAGAATGACTAAATGCAGGACTTGACTTCCTGTTTTACACAGGTGGGATCCTCATTGCACTACCCTATATTCAAAACCTTAGAGACTCTTTACATTTCCTACTAGCACAATATTGAAGTCAACCCTCTGCCTACTTCTTGATCTAATATTTTTTTCTATGATTAGCATGCTTGATAGGATTTATAGTAAAAATGCCTCTCTATGGCCTCTATTTACACAAGCACATGTAGAAGCCCCCATTGCTGGCTCTATAGTTCTTGCGGCTGCATTATTTACACTAAGGGCTATGGTACTCATGAGTCACAATGATGCTAGCCCCCAATGAACTTTATAGACTAGCTCTTCCTAACACGATCCTGATGAGGCATGATTATAACCACACAATTGTTCCGTCTACTCCAGACAGACCTACAGTCACTCATCGCATACTCCTCCGTCAGCCACACAGCACCAGTCATTGTAGCTCTCCTTATTCAAACACCACAGAGGAGCCACTGCCCTGATAATCACCCATGGCCTTACATCCTCAACACTACTCTGCCTGGCAAACTCAAATTATGAACGAATTCATAGCCGAACTACAATTTTAGCTCGCAGCCTATAAACAATTCTTCCACTGATACCACGTGATGACTACTTGCAAGTCTTTTTAATCTAGCTTTACTCCCAGCAATTTAATTGGAGATTTGTAGTTATATCAACATTCTCATGGTCTAATATTTCTGTCACATCACTCTCATAGGAGCTAACATTGTCATTACACCCCGTATTCCCTCTACATACTAATTGTGACATGATGAGGAAAACACATCATAACAACTTTAAACCATCCTTCATACAAGAAAATACCATTGTAACAATATATGCTTGCTCCTGTCCACCAACCCCAAAATCGTTTTGGGGACATGATATTGTAAATATAGTTTAATGAAAATGTCAGATTGTGAATTTTTTTTTTTAGAGAAAAAATTGACTATTTGACTGATAGATTGTGAACTTAATAATAGAAACTAAAATTTCTTATTTAAAAAACTGTGCCTCCATATATAACAGTATGCCTTTTTCAAACTTTTAAAGATAAGAGTCATCCACTGGTCTTAGGAATCAAAACCCTGGTGCAACTCCAAATAAAAATAATGAATCTATTTGCCTCAATATTTATTTCTCTGTGTATACTTTGCTAATCCTATCAATCACAGCATCCATCTCTAATATCTACAAAATCAAGACATAGCCTCATTATGTGAAAACTACAATTTCATACACCTTTATCACTAGCCTGTTCCCAATAATACTTGCCCAAGTGGGCCAAGAAATCATCATCTCAAATTGACATTGAATAACTAGCTAAACTAAAAATAACACAGCTTCAAGCTAGACGACTCCTCCATAACATTTTTACCAGCGGCATATTCATCACATGATTGATCACAGGGTTCTCAACATGATATATACACTCATCCTAATATTGAACGATTTTTAAAATATCTCTTGTTACAATACTAATCTTAGTCATTGCCAACAATCTTTAAACTATTTATTGGATGAGAAGGAGCAGGAATTATGTCTACCATATTCATAGAGTGATGGACATGGTCACACACAACAAACACTGCAGCTCTTCAAACAATCTTCGCATCGGACTTCGGGTTTATTATGTCAATGGCGTGATTCTTGTTCAATTTCAACTCGTGATGTCTTCAACAGATCTTTTTACTCAACCTTAACTACTAACTTCTCCCTGGCGGGGCTCCTAGCTGCAACTGGAAAATCCACCCAATTCGGACTTCACTCATGACCACTTTCAGCTACATAGAGCCCCCACCTGTCTCGGCCCTACTCCACATAAGTGTAATAGTTGTAACAGGCATCTTCCTACTAATCTGATTTTACCCATTAATATAAAACAATAATATGCCTCAGAGCCATTACCACATTCACAGCAATCTGCACTCTTAAAATTTTAAAAAACTGTCACTTTTTCTACTTCAAGCCAATTAGGTCTAACAATAGCGGCTACTGGTATTAACTAACCAAATCTTGCACTTCTCCACATCTGCAAAAATGCATTCTTCAAAGGTATACCATTCTTATGTTCTGGGTCTATTATCCATAACGAGAGATCTGAAAAACAGGTGGCCTGTTCTAAGCGTTGCCCTTCACCACAACAGCACTCATTACTGGCAGTCTAGCTCTGATAGGCTCCAAAGCCCTAGTCAAACTAACAGCCCGAGTTGTAACAACTAGGTTTTGTTCTGGCACTCGGAACTCAACCTTACGACACGAAATCTAAAATTCCATTATCCTTCAAACCTGTTCAACCTCTCTAACCTTCCTGGATATTTTCCAACTATCATACACTGCCTCTCACCATTAATGAACTTATCAGGAAGCCAAAAATCAGCATCACTATTGCTTGACCTAATCTGACTAGAAAATGTTTTACCAAAAATCAATCTCCCAATTCCAAATAAAGGCTTCTACAAAAAGGTCTAGTTGAACTGTACTTCTCTGTTCTCATTACATTGACCCTGAGCCTGGTTATACTTAGTTTCTATGAATAATTTCTATAATAATGACTCCAATAAACAAGGATCAACCAGTAAACACTACCAACCAAGTACCATAACAATATAAAGCATCAATAACCATAGCTTCTTTACTGAAAAAAGCAGAATTCTCAGTATCATAATAACCCAATCCCCAGGCCATTAAACTTAAATGCAACCTCCACCACATTTTTTAGTACATATAAAATTAATATAACTTCTATAATTAAACCAGGGAGGGAAATGCTCCCAGGACAGTTTTAAGAAACACAACTCAGAATATTGTTCAGTAGCCAAAGCTGTCGTATAACCAAAGACTACCAACATTCCCTCCGCATAAATTAAAAATACTATCAAGCCAAAAAGGACCCATCAAAATTCATCACAATCCTATAACCAACCCCTCCACTCACAACCCAAAGTTCCTTATAAACTGGTGAGGATTTTGAAGAAAACTGTACAAAACCAACCACAAAAACAGTACTTGAAATAAATACGACACATGTCATTCTTACATTGGAGGTGTCCATGACCAATGACACCAAAAAATATTGCTGTATTTCAACTACGAGAACAGTTATGACCAACATCTGAAAATCTCAGCTGCTAATTAAAATGAACAACTCATATTCCCTGACCTAACAGCCCCATCACATATCTCCTCATGATGGAACTTGGGTCCCTTCTAGGAATCCACTTAGTCCTGCAAATCCTAACAGTACATCTTCTGGCTCTTCCTTACACATCAGACACTATCACTGCTTTCTCTTCCGTCACCCATATCTGCTGGGATGTAAACTATGGCTGGATTATCCAATATCTCCATGCCAACGGAATATCCTTATTTTTTATCTGCCTATTTCTATAGGTGGAATGAGGCCTATATTATGAATCTGACACATTCAGAGACCTGAAAAATCCTCATCATTTACTACTTAATGTAACAGTGATGGCATTTATAGATTCCGTACTATCATGAGGTCAAATATCTTTGAGAGACAACCGCCATTACAAATCTTTGAGCAACCCCTCGCTTCACACCTGAGTAGTCTTGTCAAGTGACTCTGAGGAGGGTAAAGCCACCCTCATCTGATTCTTTGCCTATTTCATCTTTCCATTTATTATCTCAGCTCTAGTGATCGTACCTCTATTTCATCACAAAACAAGATTCAACAACCCAACAGGAATCCCATCTGACACAAGACAAAATGCCATTCTATCCGTACTACACAATCAAAGACATCCTAGGACTTTTACTCTGAATTTTAACATTATTAACATTAGTCCTATTTTCTTTCACCTGACTCCCTCGGAGACCTGGACACCTACGCCCCAGCCAACCCCCTAAACGCGCCCCACACCTCAAACCATAATGGTGTTTCCTCTTGCCTATGTGATCCTCCAATCCACTCCCAGCCAACTAGAAGGCATTCTAGCCCTAATCATCCCAATCTCATTGCTAGCTGTTATCCCAATACTCTGCACATCAAAACAGCGAAGCATAGCATTCCGACGCCTCAGCCAATGCCTGTTCTGATTACCAGTAGCAGTCTTACTAACACATGAATTGGAGGACAACCAGTTGCATACCCATTTACCACCACTGGCTGGCTAACATCTATTCTATACTTTTTCCTTATTCTTATCCTAATGCCCCTCACAAATACAGAAAACAACCTCATAAAATGGAGAGTCTTTGTAGTATATTTATTACCTTGGTCTTGTAAACTAGAGAAGGGGAGCAACAATTACCCCTAAGATTCAAAGAAGAAGCCCAAGCTCCACAATCAGCACCCAAAGCTGAAATTCTAATTAAACTACTTGAAATGCCCTATATGAGTGGAATGAAATTAATCTATGTACTATGCCAATATTGAAATATTTTACATTCACCCATCGCTATGTACTTTGTGCATTAAACTATATGCCACATATATAATACATGAATAATATATAATATGTATTATGTATAACAGTATATTACTCTATGCATATAAGCATATACATTAACCTATATATATTACGTAATACATAACTGGTTCTCAGACATACATTTATCACATGAATATCATTGTCACAATATGCTTGATATTACACAGTACATATTATTATTGGTTTTACATACCCACATGAAGTCAAATCATTTCCAGTTAACATACATATCATAACCTAGAACCAGTCCTTAACTATCAAACCCTAAGAAACCACCAGCACTTCCACAAACATACCCGGGCCCATCAATCATGGGGTTTCTGTATATGAGCTACAAACAATATCTGGTTCTTCAGGACCATTTCACCTAAAATCGCCCATTCTTTCACCTTAAGACATCTCAGTGAATTAGTGAGTAATCAGCCTATGCCAAGACATAACTGGCATCGTGCCTCTGGTGTTTTTAGAATTTTGGGTATGCTGGTCTTCAGGGATGAGGGAGAAGAGGGTGAAGAGGGAAGGGAGAGAAGGGAGAGGGGGTGAGAGGGGAAGGGGAAGGAGGAAATGAATTAGAATATGACATAAAACTTGGCAGCATGCATGTGCCAAGTGCTGGGGGATCGCTGAAGAATGAGATCTCCCTGTGGGGGTGAGAGGAGCTATCACAGAGGAAGTGACATTTGATATTTGTTTTGAAGTATTATAGTCAGAACTCTCGAGATGGACAAGAGAAAATCAGTCATTTTAGGCAGAGGGAACAGCAATTCGAAAGCATGGAGAAATGGAATGAGGACTATAAACACAGTTTGTAGGTTGTTAGTTTTTAAAATTTCATGAGGAATGGGGTGCCTACCCCTTAGTAACATGTCCACTGCTCAGCTTAAGAAATCAAGTGACTGCTGACGTGGCCTGTTGTGCACCTCTGTGGTGGAGCCACTTTCCTTCAGAGAGGCAATCCTCTCCTAAATCTGAGTTTATCAATTCCATGCATTGAAAAAAAAAATCCTCTAAGCAAGACATACTCTGTTTTGCACGACTAAAATATTGTGTTAATTTTTCCGCCCACCATTGTGTTTGTGAGGTTCGCCCATGCGATGATATGAGTAGCTCTGGTCAGTTACAGCGTAGACTCCCTCAGGCGTGGTGACTGAATTTGAGGAATAAGAGGAATTTAGGATTACTCTGACATCTTTAGAAGATGGTGATGAATACAGTAAGACAGTAGATTTGTGGGGCAGACAAATACTTCTGTTTGGGATGTGTTTGAGATACCTGCAGGCATTCAGATGCAGAGGGTAAGCAGCTGGAAATGGCATGTGGGGCTCAGGAGTGAGGAAGAAGTGAGATCTGGAACAGAAGTGAGCGCTGGAGCGCTGAGGGAGAGGTTAACGGAGGCTCAGGAGGAATGCCTTGGACAGAGGCGGTGGAGCAACCAGCTGATTAGAGAAAATATTCTCCAATGGACGAATCTGAGTCAATGAAGTGGCAAGAATTCCACTGTTCTGACATAACCTGCTCTTCGTAAAATTGGGTGTTAGTACTTAAATCTACCTGACTTACCTGAGAGTGCCAAGATCCTCTTCATTTGTTGTTCCTTCTCTCTGGCAAGCCACGGCATCTGGTTCAGAATCAGTGAGAAAAACAATGTGAGGAAGATCACCTAGACAGGAAAAGCACAGGAGAAACTAATGAGCAGGTATCATGGGATTGAAGAAGGTGACATCATTTAAGGTGGAAGTATTATTAATAAATTTCAATTATTTGGCCATTTTTATGGAAAACTGGAATAATCTCATTATTTTTACATAATCGTGGGGTACTGGAAAGGGTCTCAAGTGTCTAAATAACAGTAATTTTGTATTTTTGCCTGTAGTCCTTAATCTGCTTGGCTAGGATAGTTAAACTGTTAAATGATTTGTGATGATTTGTATAAGTTGTTCAATAACACCTGTCTTTGGAAGACCTTTGATGAGCTAAACTGGAGAAGCTACACTTTTAACAGTCCTAAGGATTAAATCTCAGTTTTGTTAAAGAACTCATGGAATCTTAGAATTGAGTATGACCTTAAATATCCCCCACTCCTTAAATATCCACGGAAGGGAAGGAAAGTTCTCCAGTCCTCAGGGGAATAAAGGACAAGGGCGATATTCTAACCATCCCTTTCCCCACCTTATCTTGCTGGGAAAAATCTGTGCAGGTGATTCCTTCCCTCCCACTCCAGCTGGCCTGCCTGCAGGTGGGTCCATTCTGCTCTGGCTGGGCTTTCCAGGGCAGGGCAAGGGAGCCAGGCCTGAAGTCTAGAGGAGGATTTGAGGTCCTTCTGCTTCTACTTTTGGAATTAATGTGTTTCAGGCAGCAATTCTGGGTGTGTCTGCTCTGCAGACTTAAAGTTGTCCTCTAACTGGACTGGCCCAAGGACTAGACTTGGGGGAAAGTAGTAGAAAGTACATCTGGCCATGGGTCCAACCGAATTCTCACTGAAGAGCTAGCAGCAGTTTGCACTCTATGCATCCACTCACAGTTAACATGCCATGGTAACTGAGGTTCAACCGAATTCTCACTGAAGAGCTAGCAGCAGTTTGTACTTTTATGCAACCACTCACAGTTAACATGCCATGGTAACTGAACTGTGTTGCTGGGAAACTTTTTAACTAAACCATGCCAACTGAAATGCATACACACTGAAACCGTGCGAAGCCAGGGCTGCCGTATTCAAGCACATCTCACTTAAAAATCAGGACACTCTTCTATCATCACATTTAAGGAAATTCTCAATTTCCTAGTATAACAGCCTATCCAAGTTAAAAATGTCTCATTTATTCCAAAGATATAAAACAGTCCTCCCCCATTAATATTTTTTATGATCCTGACTTTTCAAAGAAACTAAATTTGTTACTCAGAATGATACTACTCAACCAGCAGCATCAGCATTACGTTGGCACTTAGCAGGGATGCGAAATCTTGGGCCCCATCCCAGAACTGCTGGCCTCCATTTCAGTGTGTCTTTTAAAATTAATTATGCCTGGAACTAGCTGAAGCCTTTCAGTGGATAAATTCAATATTTCTTTGCAACAGCAGATTTTTTTCAATTGTTTAATTACCACTCCCATTAATTGCATGCTAGTTTCCCTGGATCTAAGTGTCTATTTCTTTATGATTTCAATATTTTTATATTTTATATTTTGTATTATTTTAGTTTATTTGATCTTCCTGGTCATTAACTTGAGTCTCAATAGTAACACCTCCTTCAACTCAACTTCTGACCTTTAGGATTTGTAAATCACACTTTTCATTTCCTAAAAGCCTTTGTCTGACACACAGTGAGTCCTCAATGTCATAGATAGGTTCTTAGAAACTGACTTCAAGCAAGATGACCTAACAAAACCAATTTTACAGAGGCTAATTGATAGAAACAAGAGGTAAGTTCCTATGACATATTTCTGGTCACAAAAAAATCACCAAACTTCCAAATAAAGATGCAAAGCATTTTCAAAATTAAACACAAATAAATGTGAGCTCTAGATAAAGAAAGATTAATAAAAACAAGTAAGATACTTATAGTCCAGTTCAGGGCCTCGGGTGGCCAGAGCCTCTCCCGGCAGCTCGGGGCGCAAGGGGGGACCCCACCCTGGACAGGACGCCCTTCCATCGCAGGGCCACTCAAACCCAGGCCTGCACTCACTCAAACCCAGGCCTGCACTCACTGGGACAACGTAGACACGCCAATTCACCGCATCTTTGGGATGTGGGAGGAAACCGAGAGCCTGGAGAAAACCCACGCGGACATGCAAGCTCCACATAGTGCCCGGGAATCGATTTTTCTTCTCATCGACGTTGTAACAAAGTGATGTTGAACAAAATGACATCATTCAGGGACCTGCTATAACTGAGTCTCCGTAAGAGCTCTTCTTAGCTTTTGGTCTGTCTCCTGCAGTGTTTTTTAGAATTAAGATCTACCTGCTCCTTGTACTCAGTCGCTCTTCTGTGATCACTGCGTCTCCGACGGGCCGTGCATTGGGATCACCTGGGCAGCTTTAAACGTGTTGGGCCTTAGAGCCCATCTCCAGAAGTTAAGATTTAACTGGTTTGGAAGGAGGCCTGGGCATCAAGAGTTTTAAAAGCTCCCAGGTGTGCTGTGGGCCCATCTTCTAAGCTTCTTAAAGCAGAGGCAATCCTGTCACCAAAACCCAGAATATTGCAAACTCCACCGGAAAAACAACTTGGTTTCTTCAATAAACATAATGTGAAAAAAAAAAAAACCCCAGCAAGAATAGAGAGTGAAAGATAGAAAAGGAGGGAGAAACTGTAGACTAAGTATTAAAAATACTTGAGACATAGCAACTAATTGTAACACACAGGCCTTATTTGGATCTTGATTTGAACAAAACAACTGTGAAATAAACATTCATGAGACAACTGGGAAAATCTGAACATTGAATTTTTTAAAATTGTGGTAAAATATACCTAACAAAAAATTTACCACCTTAATCTTTTTAAAGTGTATAGTTTAATAGTGTTAAATATATTTGCATTGTTGTGTGGCTATTAAGAAATTATTGCTAATTTGTGTGTGATAATGGTTTTACAATTATGTTTTAAAAAGAAGAGTTCTTATCTTTTAGAAATATAAATACAAATATTTACAGATAAAACATGAAATCTGGCTTTTCTTTTTTTCTTTTCAAAATAGGTGAAACAAGATTGGTCATGAATCAGCAATTGCTGAAAGTAGGTGGTACAACTTCCAGATTCACTAAACTATTTGCTACTTCTGCGTAGGTCTGACATTTTCCTTAAAAAACTTTAAAAGTTTTTTAAAGATTTCATGCCGCTTTTATTCCACACTAGTTTGTCCATCGATTTTGACTCATCCCTCTTAGCTCCCTAAACCTTTCCTGCTATACTTCAACTAGTCTATCAATTCTTGTTCATTTTTGCAGTGACTACGTCACACATATTCCTAACAAATTTTTCTTTTTGTTTTTTTGGGGGGCTTTTTTTGGGTTAAATTGTCAGAGCCATTGGGCACCTTGGATGGACACCCAGGGATCTCAGTTTCCCCAGCTCCCTGCGACTACAATGGTTCTTCTCATGCAGGTAACCTGGGCTGTTTCTCACATACCTTTACTGGCTGGATGATGAAGACATTTTGAAGCACTGATAAGATCATTGAAATAACCCAGCTGGTGGCTTGGTCTTTGTTCAGTTGCAGGCTATAAAGTACTGTGAAAAAGGCTGCAGCCAGGCTGGTGACACCCAGAAGGAGCCAGCAGATGTAAGTCAACCACGTGGGCAGGCCATTAGAGGTGGACTTCTTCCCTTCTTCTGGGCTCAGGATGGGGAAACTGGTTGCCTCTCTTAAGAGCAGAAGCCAAAGTAATACTCTCATAAGCAACAGCTGAGAGAGGTGTAGGATTTTTACAGGTGATAAAGAAAGCTAGGTGTGGTGTATTACCTGGATGGCCCTTGCTCTGTGGGAAGAATACATGTTTTCAAGAGTTCCTGGAGTTTTTGCAGTTGGCTGGCTGCATCTAGGAAGTCACAAGGCAGGCCAACCTGGGTGGGCCCCAGGGTGCTTAAGTGAGATTGCAGCCTCTGCAGAACTCTGAGCAGGTAACAGCTGACATGCCGGTGGTTTTCAGGGACCGCTGAAAATATATTCCAGGTTCACACTTATCAGTAAGTGGAAGAATTCAATAAATAGTAATAACTAGCAGAGATTAGCAATTCATTTATTGATGATGAGGTTAAATTTCCCAGTCGGTGAAGGTTGAACCCAACATTTACAATATTATTGTCTTCTCTGAGCATGCTGGCAAAATTTGTAAAATTCTATGCTTTGGTCTAGAGACTTTTAAAACCTGATTGAGCTTTTTCACCAGAACTGCAGTACATGTGATCGATCTATACTAGGTAAGTGCCTAGGAGGCCCTAATATATTTGAGAATCTATAAATCTTATAATCTCACCATTCCATAGAAGAAAAAGAATGACAAGTTTCAACAGTCTCCAACAAAGCAGATGACATATGGGGTTCTAATACAGAGAACACTTTTTGAGTTTTTCCTTAATCTTTTACTTTGTATCACCAGATACATTGTCTTAAAAACCACCAGACAGATCAAAGTGTCAGCTCTATACTGGATACTTAAATTAAAACAAGCAGAAGGTTGTACTGTGCCTGTTGGTTACGCTGACGGGTGAGAATAACTAAGGAGACGTACAAAGCAAATAAAATATTAGTCACTAAAACCTACTGAACATTATTACCGTTTGCCCAACAGGACCCTGCCTGCTGACGATAGCCCTGATGCTCTACATGAGAACAGACGAGGCTGGATAGAAGTTTCACAAGCTGGTTAATGTTATAAGAATCCCATGAAGATTGTTCACACTCTGAGAGTAGGTACGTGTTTCTCCTGAGCAGAAATCCCACAGTTCCCTTCAATTCCTGAATGAAGAACCAAGATGAGAAAAGTCAGTCTATTTTACATTAACACAGGACTGGAAGCAATAATAGATAGTAATAGGGCTGTTTCTTTACTCAGAGGAGCATATGCTTAGTGTACAAAACCTCAAATTTTCATTTTCTCTCTATTTTTTAAAAAAGAAGTCACCTCTTTCTAGTTTCGAAAACTAGTTTTACTAGAGAATATGGGGCAGTTGGATTAAACATCAAAAGTTAACACAACTCCAGAGCAGTACATTGTGCACTCACATTCAGTCCTCAGAATACCTCATAATCAGAAGAAAAACTAGTGGCATAATGGATCACAACTCGGAAGATAGGAATTAGGGAAAAGCCACTAAGGTTAATAGGACCTGGAAGGCTTCCAGGAGGTCCTTTCCACTGGTCTTTTCCACCACACAGGGAAAGGGAGCAGGCAATTTATCTGTAAACTTTCACGCCAGGCTTACCTCAACTACCTTTGTGAGAGAGAGAGGCTCAAAAGCAGCATCTGAGGGGCAGGAGGCCAGGACGGTAGGAAAGAGGGGCAGTGGTTCCTGCGGCTGAATCAACGGGAAGAGCCGCCCAATGACAAGGTTGATAGGGAAAAGGATGGCAGCAGTTTGGATGCTGACAAGCAGCTCGGACCAGGTCACAGCAAACGGACCCACTGAAAGAAAAGAATTACATCGACCTTCCTCCTCATTAACCGAAATAATCTGAAAGTCACCTTTCTCCCAGGTTTTATCACTTATTTAGCAATTTAACTATGATAATTAAGGGTATAAAATTATCATGTCGGTAAAGACCCTGAAGTGTTCTGAAGACTGCTTCAGCTGTTACTGAGTGGGAACAGGGAGACCATTTGGTAGAGAATGCTAATGTTAGGGCAGCAGAGGAATAGCAGAGGCACGCCGTGGTTCTGTCTCTAACGCTCAAAGCAAGGAGAGTGGACTCCCTCCCGCAAACACCATCGCGGCTCGTCCATACCCTGCTCATCTCTCTTGGCAGGAGTGCTGCTCATCTTCCAGAACATCACATTGATGACCATGTTGCAGAGCAGAAGGGTCATGCAGCAAGTGAGCCGCTGCACTCTGGTAAACTGGTTCCAGGGCTGTCGAGTTGCAATTGAGAGCCACAGATTATCCTGGGTGAACTTTTCTACAATCATGGAGGAGAACAGGTGCCTAAAGAGATACATTAGAACAGGAAAGACCTGAGATTTCATTCTGAAAGTGCCCTAGGCAGAGATTTGGTTGGCCTAACGACAAGCTACGTAGCAACAGCTCTGCCACTATTCAATGCCTCGGTGAAGAAGCTTTCAGATGACAGATAATATGATTCTTTTGTTATTTTAGGGTAAAAAGTTTTTGAAGATAAGGTTAATTTATGTTGTATGAGATTTTAAAATTAAAAGCTGTTGTTTTAGCTTTATGAGTTTTGATAAATCTTTTTATACTTCAAAAGTCCATATTAGGGTTCCACCAAGATAGTTTGGTAAATTCACAGTTTGAGTACTTTCTTTATTCCAAATATGGAGGAACTAAAGATAAGATATAAAAAGAAAGAATCAAAAATGTTCGCCGGGCTTAAAAACAAAATAAACATCTCTGAGGAAGAGAAATGAAATGAGAAAATAAGAGGAGAAGAAGCCACAGGATTACTGGGCTCCAGGTCTGGAAGAAAGCAGGACACAGGCAGGAGTTGACTCTTGCAGGGTAACTGGAAATAAGTGTTTCATAGGCTGGGGGAAAGGGAGAGTAAAGCCGACCTCACTGCTTGAAGCCAGGGTTGAGGCTGGTGCTTATGAAAGGATAATACAGAACAAAAGACTGCTATCGACCTCCACATTTACAGGTAGGGAGGTGGGCAAAGAGGACAGCCCCACGACCAGGGGCTGAGCCAAGAGATCCATTGGCTCATTAGCCCTTCATTAATTTCATGGAGAATAGGAGCTCCAAAATGCTATAATATAATAAGGCCTAGTTCTAGAGGTGTGAAGGATTGGATGAAACAGCAGCAAAACTACTAATCAGGAGTGAGGGGAGGGAGGGAGAGAGAGAGAAAGAGAGAGAGTGAGAGAGAAGGGAAGAGAAACAGATACTGAGAATTAACAATAAAATCTCTCAAAATGAATTTACAACTCCAAACCCCTGATCATATGAAGAAATCTAATGCTGAGAAAGGCAGCCAACACAATCAATAATTCAGTCTGGAAGAAATTAATTTTATGGGACATTCGACAGACTTAAATATATGTATTTCAGGTTGCTCAAAGATACAAGTAAAGGAATAATACTCATATAAGAATTTAAAAACTTATGAACAGAAATAAAATAAATTAGAAATCTTGAAACAAAACCAAAAATAATTAGGAGATATTTAACATGGTGGAAGAGAAAATTAATGAACTGTAATCAGTACTAAAGGATTAACCCAGAATACACCAGAGAGACAAAAAGAAAAAGTAGTTTAAAAACACAGAAGATAGTCTGAGAGGCTCCAACAGACAGTAAAGGAATGTCAGATAACCAATATTTTCAGAAGTGACATCTGAGAACATTTTCAGAATTGAGGATATAATTCTGCACATTAAAAGTACAGTCTATCTTACGTGTACTTTACTACAATAAAGGTTTTTGTCAAGCACCTTCTAAGTACCAAACAGGATAAAAAAAGTAAATCCACAATAAAAATAATTATGGTAAAATTTGGAACATCAAATATAGAGATCGAATATTTTAAAAAGAAAGGCAGTATACTTTAAAAGAATAACACGAGACTGACAGAAGACCGAAACGACAACAGAGGCAGTGTTGGAAGGCAATTCCTCATGAACGTTTCACATCTGGGCATTAATAAAAAATTTGCTCCTGGACCTTTTAAGGTGTCTTGGTATAAATAGACAGCTCTGGAAAGACAGTGACTAGTTTGGGAGGAAATTTACTTACATTTCCAGACTGTAAAGATAGAATCTAGATGTGTGCCCACTGAGAAAGTACCTCAGAAGGCCCTAAGCTCTCAGCAAGCACCTGTGAAGGTTAAGGCAGGGCTGTAAAGTGCCTGGCTGAACATCGAAGGCATGACACGAGATGCACACAAAACCTCTGATCAAAGACTCAGAGACTTCCTGGTTCTAGGCATTTAAATCTCTGTCCCATCATTAGCTGACCACTAAACTAACTGAGCAGAAATTTCAGATGCCAAACATGATGAAGAATGTAGACTTTACAGAATTAGTTCATAAAACTCACTGAATGACAACAAACACTAAGAACAACAAATCCTGGGGGAGGGGAAGGAAGTATGATTTCCAGAGTTGCCATAATCCATTATTTAAAATGTACAGTTTTCAACAAAAGGTCACAAGACATGCAAGGAAACAATAAAGTGTGGTATGCACATGCCTCTCCACGCCCCCGGCCCAGAAGTCAACAGATTGTCTCTGAGGAAGCCAAGACACTGGATTCCAAAGACAAAGACTTCAAATTGGCTATTTAAAATGTGTTCCAAGAACTAAAATATCCATGTCTAAAGAACTAAAGAAAAGTAAATGAGAATATCTTGCCAAATAGAAAAATCAGTAAAGATATATATATTTTAAAAGAACTGAGTAGAAAGTCTGCAGTTGAAAATACAATAAATGAAGTGAAATATCTGCGAGAGAGGCTCAACAACAGGTTTGAGCAGGTAAAAGAAAAAATCAGCAAACTTGAAGACAGGTCAATTAAAATGATCCGGTCTGAAGAACAGAAAGGAAAAAAGAATGAAGGAAAATGAACAGAGTCTCAGAGACCTATGAAACATCATCATTTCCCAACAATACCTAAAGGAAAAGAGTTCTTGCTTTGAGACTGGTATGAAGACCCGGTCACGCTCGCAGTCTCCAAGGTCCACGGCCAGCCAACAGTCGCACAGGAAATGCCATTTCCTTTTACCTGCCATGTCACTGACAATTACCTCATTTACGTACCTATAGTAAAATGATGATAATCATGTTAGGAAGGTGGGCACAAATCAGTTGCTGTAATAACAAGTAATCTTATGGACACAACCTAAATGTTCACCAATGGATGAATGGATAAATAATATACTACATATATACAAAGGAATGTTATTCAGGCATAAAACAAAATGAAATCTTGCCATTTGCAACAACGTGGATGAACCTTGAGGGCATTATGTTAAGTGGAGTAAGTCAGACAGGGAAAGACAAATACCATGTGATCTCGCGTATATGTGGAATCTAAAAAAAATTAAAAAGAAAAATAGGCTCACAGGGTAAGGGGTGGAGGAAATGGGTGAAGGGAGTCAAAAGGTACGAACTTCCATTTATAAAATAAATAAGTCAGGAGGGTATAATGTACAGTATGGTGACTACAGTTAGTATTACTGTACTGCATATTTGAAAGCTGCTAAGAAAGTAGATCTTAAAATTTCTCAGCAGCAGAAAAAAAATTTGTACTATATATAGTGACAGATGTTCACTAGACTTACTGTGCAAATATTGAAACACTGTGTTGTACATCTGAAACTAATACAATGCATGTCAATTATGCCTCAATAACAATAAATAATTTTAACAAGTAATCTTGCACTGTTGGTGAGTGTCCAAGTAAATGGACTGCTTCATTGCGAGGCAAGAACTAAGGAAAAAAATGAGAGCTGATGCCATTCTTCTTTTCCCGACCTCTAAGGGAGTTCACGTGCACACCAGAATGCAGACTTCTATGACCTATATGTCCAGTGTGCATATATAGTCTTTAAATTTCCTTGTTCCATATGTGACAGCCCTGCTACCTCTAAAAGTATCCCATATGTCTTTAGCTTTCCTCTCTAGAATCTGAGGGGGATACATTTGGGGGCTTACGGGTGTTAATATAAACTAACATTTACATTAATGACTTATTCTCCTATTTGGGTCTGTGGCTTTGTTTTGACCTCACAGAGCCATAAGCTCTGAGATTTCATCCTCTTTCCAACCACATGTGTCTAACTTCTCCACTAACTTCAACCATCAACAAATTTGCCCTCTGGAACACCTAATTGTTCAACCTATTTGATTTCATCTTGCAATTAGTTAATGTCTTCCTTTACTGTAATGATGCTATTTTCCCAGGAGTCTATGTCTAATGTCATGAAATCACTTAAATCTCTCTGGTCAAAATCTTTGTTTGATTTTAGTTCAAAGTTATTTTCTCTGTGAGGAATACAGACTCTTTTAAAGCTAAAATATTTCTGAGGACTCTTTTATTGAGGCAGTTTATAAAATCACAGGTGACTAAGTTGCATTTGATTGAAACTTAGCTAGTACAGCTTGTAGTTAAAGCTTTCATTTAAAAGCAGAGTATAAAAAAGGAGAAAATATTCATTTTCTGAATGATGAAAAACTAGTCATGGGCTTTTTGGATTTCCAGTGTAACTTATTTTTTAAATTATTTCATATGTGAGAAAAAAAGAATCTAATGTGAGTATATAAATGCAATGTTAAAATTTTTGACAATACTTAAAAATATACTGAAGGAAAATTTTTAAAAACTTGGTATAATTTACATACGATCAAAGGCATCCATTTAAAATGTACAGTTCGGTGCACTGTGACAAATGTGTACTCTTGTGTCACACCACCATCATCAAGATTTCACCTCAAAAGTTCCAGTCAATCTCCTTCAGGCTTACCTCTGGCCCCAGGCAACCACTCATGTGCTGTCTCTATGGATTAGTCTGCCTTTTTTCAGAATTTCACATATATGGAATCATACAGTACGAATTCTTCTGTGTCTGGCTTCTTTCACTCGGCATAATATTTTTTGGAATTCATCCACGTTGTGTATATCAGCAGACTGTTCTTTTCGGCAGTGCCACTGAATGAATCTACTAATATTAGTTTATTCATTCACCTGATGAACATTTGTGTTGTTTCTAGTTTTTGGCTACAAAAGGTGCTATGAATATATGTGTAAGTCTTGAATGAATATATTTTTTCATTTATCTTGGATAAATATCTAAGAGCAGAATGTCTGGGTCATATGGTAAATGTATGGGATAAATATCTAACAGCAGAATGTCTGGGTCATATGGTAACTTTACAAGAAACTGACACACTGTTTTCAAACATGGCTGCTTTACGCCCCTCCAGTGATGTGTGAGAGCTCTACGTGCTCCCTATCCTTACCCAAACTTGGTTTTGTCAGGCTTTTTAATTTTAGTCATTCTGGTGGGTGTTTAGTGCTATCTTACTGTGGTTTTAATTTGCATTTCCTGATAACTAATGAAGTTGAGCATCTTTTCAAGTGCTTATTATACATCATTCACCTTCAAAAATAAAACTGTACTGATAATGTATAAACTGTTTTGTATATACCTGAACAGAATAAAAAAAAACAAGCAAATCATTAAGCTCTACTGGCCTAGTGGGTTGGCGTCTCTAGCCTAGCAGGGAAAGATTTATCTTGAGAACAATTTTAGGCAGGCTGCATACTTGCTTCAGGTGGGCAATACTCAGCAACTGATTCCTTTGAGTACTTGAGCCGTGGATCTTTGACTTCATTCCTTCTTTTTCCCTAACCCCAACAAACCACTAATCTTCATCCTTAATTAATTTTGTCATCTGTTTTCTCTACCCACCTCTCCTAATTCTCAGGGTGCTGCTGAAGGAAGATGCAGAATCATTTGGACTTAGTACACGTCGGCATCACGTACTCGTCACTGGCCATTTATCTTTCTAACTCCCTAGGCACATTCCATATCATGATTCCAATCTTTCCCCTTCCTTAAGCTCTTCATTGTGACCCAAAGCATAGTATTCAGTTGTCTATTAAATTTAGTCTTCAAAGATATTTTCCATATTTAGAGATACTTTTAATTTGTAGTACTTTGGGGCAATATTTCATTGTTGTTATTTGCTGTTCGCAATCATGACAACATTTAATGAAAATAAAAAAAAAAATCTATCATTCTAACATCCACAAAAAAATCATATTGTTAATTTTCCACGCTGCTTTCCAGAGTTTTTTCTTTATAGACAGCAGAGAAATATAAATCTCATAGTCGTTTGTTACTATTTTGCCCAAAGCATTATTATTTATTGTAGGACTTGCCCCAGAATGCTAAAGATCCGCAGAGAAGAAACACCCAGCCAGCATGGTACAGGTACTTACCAAGAAGGGCTGACGCCCGAATTGTCATGCCAGAGCCGAAGGCTGTGCAGTTCCCCTAGTGAGGACTGAGTGCTGAGGAGGAAGACATCCAGTCCCCCGTGTTCGAACACCACCTTCTGGGAGTCACAGAGGTGATGGGGTTCACTCTGTCCCTCTGATCCATAGAGGGTGATCACCACCTAAAATGTGACAAGGAAAGATAAAATATGGCAAGTTCTGACATGATTCTTTGGGCTTATTCCCTAAGGAGAAAAATGAAGACAGAAGAAACTGTACTGAGATGAAGTCTTTGGGATCTTAGACAAGTAAATCTCTTCAGATTTACAGTTTAGAGCTAGGAAATATCACTCTCTGATCCCTAGTAAATGCTATAGGACATCGGCATATCACCAAGTCCGTGTATCTCATGTAGTAGAAGACACAGAGCAATGAATGGAAAACATTTATTTCAATAACCTTAGCTGTTGTAGAAGCCTTTCTTCGATATCCGGTGGAGACCTGAATAAGGTAGTGAAATTGAGAGCTCGGGTCATTATCCGCCAGGACAGTGACCTTCACCTGCAAGAAAAGCAGAACCAAGAGGATTGGCAGGGCTTCACCTAGTGCAGTGGAGATGCTTCCTCCAGCTAGGAAACAGGAGATGCACCACTGCAGATTTGGCCACTCTAAGGTAACAATGGGGAGGTGCAGGCAGAAGGTCAACAGACGAACAGACCTAAGTTAAGTGAGGAAAGGGAGAATGAAGGCTCAAGTCCAGGGTGTAGCCTCTAAAATGAAAGTCACAAAATCAACTGATCAGGTCTTGGGCCTCTAAATCTTCCCACCTCCCTCCCACCCAGGTAGGGTTACCAGATAACAGGATACCCAGTTAAACCTGAATTTCAGATCGGTGATGAATAATATGGGGGTATACTGATACTAAAAATGCATTCGCTGTTTATTTGAAATTCAAATTTAACTGGGTGTCCTTTAATTTTATTTACTAAAACTGGCAATTCTACATCCAGAGCAACAAAGAAATGGACATGTTGTATAGAATTTCCAAGTGTAAGAAAACACAATAAGAAAGATACAGAACAGAAATTAAGAACAGGCTGTCATCAAAGATTTCTTTTTGTTTCAAAAAAACATTTTATAGGTTTCGTATATATTTTAGTTACATTAAATTACAATTTGATTTACACGTAACTTTCATATTCTATGTACAAAGTGGGATAAACTTGCATTTGGTCATAGTTAAGTTCTCTAGGTGTTTTCTTTTGGCTTATTCCTAACCTAAATGAATGATATGGGGGTTCAATCTTGGCTAAAAGGAAAAAAATGGAGATAAAGAGTTAAGTTTTGAGACAGCACATATGAAGAGAAATTTAAGAAAAGTCCCACCTGAATTTCTACACTACCTAGAACCACGTGACCTGCCTTTTTTGATGAAAGTGTTTTTATTTCCATCCTGTTCAACATACTCAAGACATTGTGGCAAAGCTTTTGGAATCAAAATCTCGTCACCTTCTGCATATCTGCTTGATCTTTTCTCCATGCCCACACAAGAATTAGTATATAGAATCCCAAAAGGCTGGCTAGCAATGACACCCCAACAGGGTTGTTGGTTATGCGAAGGAACAGCTTGACTGTGTCTTCAACATTCACTGTCCGGGGCACAATGAAGAATTCACTGCCGAAGTAGGTCAGGTGGTTACAGAGACACTGAGTCCTCAAAACTGTGCTCTGTGGCCCGACCTGGAATTAGAAACAAGGCATCAATGCTAACTGAACAGAGTGCTAAGGAAGAGAGAAACATAAAACATTAACATGGACGATTTAGAGATGGAAAAGACTGAATCATTTATTCACTGCTGGTGGTGGTGTAAACTGGCATAACCAACATAGAGAGCAGGTTGGCAACACCTAGTAAAGCCGAAGAAGCAAAATTCTTTGAATCCTGCAATTCCAGCTCTGAATATATACCCTAGGGGAACTTGGCACATGTGCGCAAGGAGATGTGAAAAAGGACGTTTTTGTCAGTAACGTCTGTAACTATAAAAAATTGGAAACAACCTATACGCCCAGTAACTGCAGAACAAACGGACATACAAGTAAATAAATAAGTAGAGGCAAACGGATGGAATACTCTGCAGCTGTTAAAATGAATGAATGTCAACATGGATAAATGTTGAGTGAAAAAAGTTAAAGAAAGATATGGATAGTATGATGTCATTTACGCAAAGACCACTTTTGTCAGTCTCCTCGCTGGAGTGTAAGCTCACAAGGACATGGTCTTGTCCATCTGTATCTCTAGTTTCTAGCCTTGGGCCTGGCATGTAGAAGATGCTCAGTAAATATCTGATGGAAGAATGAATACACATATCAAATTCAGGACAGTGGTTACCTTTTGGGGAGAGGGAGGAAATGAGATTGGTGAAGAATACACAGGGGGCTTTGATTATTCCTGAGTGTTTTATTATTTTAAAAAATTTGAACTAAATTGAGCAAAATTCTAATTTTATAATAAAGCTTAGTGGTATTTAATTTTTTTACTATATTATTCACTATAACTTTCCATATGTTGTAACACATCTTCATAAAAATTTTCTAAATGTCACTAGGTGAATAAATGGAAGGTACCAATTCCATGTTTGATTTGCAGATGAAAAGTCTAAAACAGTGTCAATATGACCAGCTTCTTTCCATGGCACAAGGTTAAATTCAGATTGCCCAATCTATATTCTGCCATTGGAGTCTCTGCAGCTGTTCCTTTTGCCAAGTCAAACACTATACAGGGCTTCAAGGTGGCAGGAAACATCTTGACGCCTTTTGCAATCAGTGGGCATTGTTGTGCCAGGAGGAAAGCTCTCAAGTCTTGTTGCTCAAAGTGTGGCTGACCTGACCAGGAGCAGTGCCTTTCTAACAAGGGAGCTTGTTAGAAAGGCAGAGTCTCAGGCCCACTCGAATTTCCTGCAACAGAATCTGCATTTTAATGAGCTTCCATTTTCAGGATTTGCTTGAGAAGCACCACTCCGGATCATCCAGAAAACACTGCTTGAGGCCATAAATGGTGCAGGTGCCATTTTAAAGTGGGCAGACACCGGGAACTAGACAATAATTACAAAAGTGAAAATCTGTCCCCATCTGGCCTGGAATGTACAAGAATCTGCCAGCTTATTTTGAAGTACAGGAAGTTTGTTTCATTTTACCCACAGCATATTTAATACTTACAGAATTTAACAGCTTCCATATACTGCTTATTTCATCTAGAATTGTCACATTCACCCCAGACTAATGTTTGTGAAAAAAATTACAAGTATAAAGCACAGTCTGCTCCAAAGAGACACTCTTGTCCAGCCCACTTCCTTTTTCCCAGGCCAATTTATTTCCCTTCTGACAACTGTGAAGGGAAATGAGCTAACACACCGTGCTTAATGCCAGCTAAGGTAGAAGAGAGCGGGAAAGTGGCACAGCTTCCTACCCGGCATCCGTTGCTCTTCCATGTGCTATTGTGACTGTCCCAAAAATAGCACTGAGTGACTGCGGTTATGACGGAGAACAGGGTGGGTGCCTGCTGAGCACTCGCCTTGCTTTTATTCAGCACAGCTGCTATGTAGTAGATGCCAGTCCCATGCTGCAGACTCTCTGGAGTCAGCACCCACGTGTATTCCTCATCTGAGAACAAACCAGAAGGCTTAGTAGCTTTGCGCATGGGAGAAAATTACCATTAGAATCCTTCTTCTGAAGGGTCCATTATTATTTCTATTATTATTTTATTTTACCAACAAAGTAATAAGTCTAAAATCGTACACAGAAATTTTTTTTTAATGACCAGTGATACAATTCAGGGCTCTGGATTACTCTTGTTCCAGTAAAAAATATCTTTTTTTTTTTTTTTTTGATAAATGAAAATTTAGGTCTAATGAATTAGAATGTATTATGAGTTTTAGAAAACTGAAATCATCACATACCAAAACTAGTAGCTAGAAGACCCAGGTAACAAAAATCCCAAGGACGAAGCAAGGACAGCCTGGTTCCAGAGAAGGAGCCCTGGACCACACATACGCCAGTGGCCCGATTTTAGGCACGGTTCTGTGTCTAGGTGGCTGTTAGGGGCAAGTCATCCAATCTCTCTAGTTTTCTTATCTTTCAAATAAGGAGTCTAAACTAAAGGATCTCTGAGATTTCTTCTAGCCTCAAATGACATGATATGATTGCCAAGGTCAACAAGGAGAGAGTGCGTGTTCTGACTCAGAAAAGAGCCTGTCGGTAATGTAGACAGAACTTCGTAGCTGGTGGCCTAGGAGCGAGAGCTGCGGCCTCAGGTACTCTGTCTGATGAGTTAGTGAGGCCTTCGCGAGAGCCAGAAAAAGCTTTATCAATAAGGGAAGACTCATAAAGGAAGACTATAACATGCTTTATCCATTCTGATTATTTTTCCCAACATTTTTTTAATGCAAAAAGGTAGCTCTTTAAGACTTTTCAGTACTACATTTAAAGTTTATATCCAGAAAATATGTTTTTTTGGTCAAGTATATACCAGGCACTATTTATATATCTCAAAAATTCTTTATTTATATCTATCTCAGAAATTCTTAACTTTTCTAAACTACAATGTAGTCATACAAATCTTATACCAAGACTTAGGAAGATATCTCTGGGCTTTACCCATTTAAGATTAGAACTAAAGTTGAAATATAACTGATATACTGCATATATATATTCGCCTATGATATATAAAGTTTGAAATATATATGACTCATTGTACTGGAACTTCTGCAGGAGTCGCAACATTTTACTATGAGTCACAACATTCAACTATATAGAAAGTTGGGAAAATTTCAGTGAACACCCATATAATCACTAACTAGATTTTACAATTAACATTTTACTAAATTTGCTTTACCACATATATATACTTCTATGTGTCCCATTATCCATCTTTTTTAAAAATAATCTTTTACAATCCATCTTTTAAAAAAATAGTCACATATATCTATCAATGTCATTTCCCGGTTGTAATACTGTACTATAGTTTGCCAGATGTTATCATTAGGGGAAACTGGGTGAAAGGTATATGAGATCTGTTTTATTCCTTATAATTGCATGTGAATCTACAATTATCTCAAAATAAAAAGTGGACTGAAAACAAAGAAAAAATTCATTATAGAGTAAACTGCTGACTTCTGAACGGCGTCCTACCTTTCTGCCAGACCTGATTCTTTGGAAGCGTGATGTTCAGGTGGAAGTAAGTGTGGTTAGGCTGGTACTGGAACCCCAAGTAGAGTGTCATGGAAAGGGGACTTTCAGGTTCTATGCACACTATCAGGGATTTCTCCAGGGATGTGATGTTCACTGTGACAGTAAAACGGTCCGTGCTCACATTGAGGCTGGTGGGATGGGTTTCCATGCTAGCATTTCTCCAGAGCGTGATCTAGAATGAGAGCCCATTATCACTCTTCAAGTTTAACGTGGCCCATCCACTGATGTCTTTCAGTCTCCTTTATAGCAAGAATGGGATGAAACTTCCTAGGTCTTCCTCTTTGAATGTTAGTAGGTAACACAGTGCCAGGAGTTAAGGAAGAGTATATAATCTGAGACCCCAAACACCTCCTAATGGTAAGGTAGATCTCTTTGTAGAAGTTCCTAAGTAAAGATGTTAATAACAAAACATCTTATGGCATTGCCATAAATCTAAAATGATTTCCTTTAAGGTACTGTGTCTTTCTATGCCATTCTTCGGGAATCTCTATTCCCTTCTATTTTATTCCCTAGTAATCAAGTCATACCTCAATATCTTCCACTAAATCTTGGACTTGTAGCGATCCGTGACTAGAGCTTAGTAATACACTTCCGATGCTTCCAACGATGTGCTTGTCATCAAAATCCCGGAAGGGATTGAAAGCTAGTCCTGTGACCTGGAGACAAGAAACTCCAGCTTCATCAGTGACTGAAATATTTATAAATAACACCCCGAGAGGTTATAAGTTACCAGATAGCATAAGTTAAAGTAAATGCTAGGATTAATCCCTTGCTAATAGGGTAAATGAGATAATATTTCTTATTATAACATCATATGAGAAAGAATTAAAGATGAGTCATTTATTTGTGAATCTCGGAATTATTATTTTTTTACATCTTTATACCTGGAGGATTCATTTTACTAGGAAGCTAGTATTCTGCTCCCAGGATAAGGCAACAATCCTACTTCTGCTTGTATGGTAACTGCTGAAAGAAATACAATATACTGATCTGACTAGGTTGATATATTGAGTCAATAATTATTCGGATATTCCCAGCTTTGTGTAAATAATGATGAGCTGAGATCAATTCGAGTCATAACATAGAAACGTAGCTAAATCCAGAAGTCTGTTTAATGTTCCCAACCTCCATACTCGATCATTTTTAAGAGGCCTCCAATCCTGCCGGTGTAAAACAAAAATTAATGGCACACCACCTGCTCTCATTTGGTCTGGTCAGCTTACATTTCATGGTGCATTCTCTTCACCCAAATGCCTACAGTCAGCAAGTCCCATTTCCACTCTGATCAGAATCAGTTTCACACTCACTTGAACGGTAACTCCTGGGTGTTTATTCAAGAGCTGCTCCAAAGCCGCAGCTGACGGGAAGCCTAACCTCACAGGTGCTGGGTAACCAAGAGTGTACGAGCTCAGAGGCAACGTTGATATGTTCCGGCTAATAAAAAAGAAGTTAAATAAAAATCAATTTCTGTAGGTTTTTTCTAAAGGTCAAAAACCTAAAATGAAACTCCCGTGCTTCCTTCCTCCTCTGTTACCTGCTCAGCATCAGGGTGGCAACAGAAGAGGTCAAAGTCACCAAGGACTCAGAAAACTGATTCTGCTGTACGAACGCTTCCCCAAGGCTCAGCAAGGGCATTTTCAGAATATTTTCTACCTGCATTTACAGGAAAATAACATGTGACTTGTGTAACCTCACTGTACTGTGTTAGTGAAATAATGATTTTGAGAGGGTTGGAGGGAGAAAGGGGATCTTGACAATGGTGTAATAAAAAGTGACATTCATAGGAGAGAACCCATAGAAAGTGTTGACATTCTGGCTAAAGACTCATCATTCTTTGTATTAATGAAGAGGGTCACCCAAGGAAATAGGTATTTCTTTGCCCCGTGACATAACCTGCCCTAGATCTGCTTATGATAATTTTTTATATATTAACAAGCTTTACTACAATAAAATCCACACACGCAATTCACCCATTTAGAGAATACAATTTAATGTTTTTTTAGTATATTCGCAGGGTTGTGCAACTATCATCATGATCTAATTTTAGAATATTTTCATCTCCCCTAAAATAACTCCAGAACTCAGTAGCAGTCACTGTTCTTCTCTTGTCCTCATCTTCCCCAGCCCTGGGCAACCACTCATCTACGTTCTATGTCTATTTTGCTTCTCTCCTAGATATTTCATATAAATGGAATCACAATATACAGTCTTCTGTGACTGGCTTCTTTCACTTAGCATAATATTGTCAAGGTTCATCCATGTTGTAGCATGTCAGTACTCAATTCTTTCTTATTGTTGAAAAATATTCCATCATATGGACATATCGCCTTTATTTACCCATTCATCAAACTGTGGACATTAGGTTGTTTCTACTTTTTGGCTATTTGGCTATTTGAACAATGCTCCTATAAACATGAGTGTAAAAGTTTTAGTGTGGACATATGTGGGTATATTCCAATAAGTGGAATTGCTAGGTCACATGATAATTCTATTTTTCACATTCTGGGGAACTATCAAACTGCAATAAAATGATGTATGAGGGTTCCAATTTCTCTGCTTCCTTGTCAACACTTGTTATTGGCTTTTAGGATGTTTAGTGGTATCTCATTGTGGTTTGATGTACATTTCCCTAATGACTAATAATGCTGAACGTCTTTTCATGCAGATAGCAAATATAATTTACTGACTGCTTTTCACTGGATTACAGCACTAGGTGGACTTGGCTTACTGGCTGGGCAGAGAGGAGGACCCGATCAGGCTTAACAGAGCAGTCTTTTCAGTGGTACAGACTTAGCTGAATTCTCTTTAGAGTCTAGGGAGAGGCTGTGTCATATCCAGGACAGTCAAGATTAAAAAGTCTCTAAAGAGAGCTGGCCGCCAGCATATACCGCACCTACCTGTTCAATGTCACGTTTGGACCTTGGCCGACTTGCCTCAGTGGCTTCCACTACAGTGTCGAGGATGTGGAAGAGGCAGACAGTTCCAAGAATTCGAAAGCCTGCAGTGCTGCTGTTCTGGAATGGGAACTGCTCACTCAGGAAAGTAAGAGAGTTGCCAATATCGACCTGGGAATTTTAAAAGGCAAATAACTCTACATCCCTGAACTGCTGATGGCTGCTTAAAATTTATTTTTGTTCTTCTTATGAGGAGCTCAATGTTCCTTACACATTTCAAATACATTCTTGTAAGAAGCAATATCACAACTTGGCAGGGAAGGAAAATAAATTATTATATAATATCTATGGGCTTATTCTAAGAAATTGACATAACCCTTTTTGAGTGGTATGCAGATTAAATATCTAGTTAACAAAACTAAGCTTAAAAAAAGGATGCTGAGAAAAAAAACCAATGCTGACTGAAACAACTGAGCAGACTATCCCTTTGTATTGAGGACTTCGAAAGCGTTCAAGACAGACTTAAAATAAAGGTTAAGGAGAAGGTCTAAATGAAACAGAAAACACCAATTCTACTTTCTGTAGGTTGTTCTCATGTGAAACAAGTCAAATAAGCCGACTGACAGATATTTACTGAATATTCACCGTAGGTACTACTATTTTTGTTTTCAAATGTTATTTGTTTTCAAAGTTACATTAAAAGTTTCTGCAAAATAAAATATAAAAAATAAAATACGAAAATAAAAATAAATATAAAAATAAAAAAGAAACAGTTAAAAATAAGACATAGGCATAAAATGTTAGCAACATATATAACTATAGGTTAACATCAATAATAAATAAATCTCTTATAAACAAAGAAACAAGCAACCCTAAACAGGGGGAAAATGGATGAAGGATATGAAGAAGAAATTCAGAGGAGAGAAAAAATGGCCAATAAATATATAAAATGATGTTCAATCTCCTTAGTAATCAATAAAATGTTTTTCCTTCTTTTCTTGTCTTTGAAATTGCCAAAAATGAAAGTGTGGGTAGAAGTTTGGTGGAAATGTAAAACAGTTCCTTTTAGGAAGGGAGGGTAATTTTGTCACGTATTAAAAATTTAAAAGCCCATCAATTCTACGTCTAGCACTCTAGCCCAAAGAAATATTTGCATAAGGACGTCCATGGATATTCCATTTGCAAGGGTAAACAAATGAAAAATATCCAAACAAACATTAAGAATAACGAGTTCATCTATGTGTACTGACATGAAAAGACATCCATGACAGTATTAAGTAAAAAAAATCAAGAGGCAGAAAAATTTGCATGCTTTAACCCCATTTTTGTTAAAACAAAACAAACCAACAAACCTGTGTACATATTTTAAAAAGTTTGAAAGGTTATGCACAGCAAATGAAGACTAAACTAATAACAGTGATTACATCTAGAGAATGAGCCTGGCAGGAGGACAAAGATGGTGAGGGCTTCTGCTTTTTACTTTTTATGCTTTTGTTCTGATTTTTTTAAATAACAAGCATGTATTATTTCTGTAATTAGAATGTCCAAATAAACCAATATAGATTGCATTTATATACTTATTGCAGAATATTTGAAAATATAGAAAATGGAAAAAAGAAAATTAAAGTTCTCACTAATCCTACCACCTTAATTTAGTTATGTGTAGAAAGTAGAAAGAGGCATAAATAATTATGGGGAAGTACCATTGGCAAATATGGTTGCAAGAAATGCAAACATCAAATATTTTTGATGTCTGTTTCGAAGCTGTACTACATGGCAAGCTGTGGATCTACTTTTGTCTCTCATGACTTCTTCTAACCAATATGTCAGAAAGGCAGCAGCATGAAAATGAATAAAATAAAATAAACAGCATATCTGAGAATGTCACTACTGACCAATTTTTTTTTTCACAATCTTCAGATTTAAAGGTACAAATATACTTGCTAATATTTGAATTGAGTCTCCACAAAATAGTTTTATAATGCTAAATTCTGTACAGGGCACAATCTTCAGATTATATATTTTCTACTTTATTATAATTTTTCTTTTTCTGTTTTTCACTTTCCTCTTTCCCCCCATATCTTGTTCCCTCCCAATCATCTTCTGCTTACCTGAACTGACTCAGAAAATCCTAGGATAAAGGCTGTCAGTTTCCGGAGGACCTCACAAGCTTTCTGTAGTTTGTTATGCATTTGTGAACCATGAATTGCTTTGCTAAAGTTCCCTGATATCTCATCTACCACCTGTTGGGAATGAAGAATTTTGTCAAAATTATTTATATAGTTATTGCATTTTAGTAATTTGATACATAGTTTTAATGAGAGTTGACCTTTGATGACATTACAAGCTCTATGAATCACAGGCTCTTCCATAACAGTTATTTTGTTCACAAGCTTTTCCGCAAATAGAAAGAATTTATTTTCATTCTTCCATACAGCAGAGAAAATGGATAATATGGTTATACAATGATTGATCCAAGGACAAAGGAGTCTGGAAATAAGATTTATAAAAGCAAGTTTAAGTCTATGGCCATGATCAAAAGTATGGGAAACCTGGGAATCAAAACAACAAAAGCAAACTTTTCTATTCAGAAGTATGAAGTATGTTTATACCCTCAGGTTTCCCATTGCATTTATTGCCCTCAACCCAAGAGATCATGTTCAAGAGGGAAGTACTTTATATACCACATGGCAGGAGGTGGCAGAAAACTTCTCTAAGAAAACAAATCCAGAACTCTGGTCCCAAGGCTTAAGAGGCTACTTCTTTTGAACTGGAAGGTCAACTCTGAGATAATCTGTTTATACTAGCTACTCAGTCTTATTTCTAGAGCACAGCCCACTTACAGCTTAACTCAACTGTGTATTCAATAAGTCCTTATTAAATGCCTACTGTATACTGCTAGGCTCAAGAGCTGGAACAGTGAAAAGTCAATTATGATCCCGCCCTCAGGCACCATAGAATTGAATAGGGTTATTCCTGATTTGCAGGGTGTGTAGGAGGTTGGATCAGTTATAGAGAGATCTTAGAATTGAGGACCACCCAATTTTGGTTTTGTACTTTGGGACTGAGGTATAAATAAGAAGAAATGAAGATCTGTGACAAAATTGCCGCCCAACTGCACATTTGCCAGTGGAGGTCATGTCTTATTTAATGCCATTCTAGCTATAGCCAGGCAGGCAGGTCACTGAGGATACCCTATTTGATATTTTAGAGCAGGATGTGTAACCTGGGCTGAACTTCAGTGGGTCTCACCATTTACCTAGCCTTTTGTTAATGTTTCTTAATCAAGCCTTATAGTTGTCTCCGTAGAAGTTTTGCATATATTTGGTTAGATTTACTCCTAGGTACTTGCTATTATATATTTTTTAATCTAATTTTCTGATTGTTGCGGAAATGTAATAATGCAATTAACTTTAGTATACTGATCTGGTATTCAGCAACATTGCTAAATTCTCTTAATATTCCTAATAATTTATCCGCAGACTCTTCTGGATATTCTACGCTTCAGATTTCTCTCTATTTAAAGGAAACAAACACTCTTTGTTTAAGCTACTGTAGGTCAGTGTTTTCCCCCAGCAGAACACAATGCTAACTGAGACAATAGTGAACGACACCAGGGAAAGCAGATCCAGAGTAAACAGGATTCTTTCCTGCAAGGGAAATGTTAGATTGAATCTAAGTAGGGCTTGTGTTTACCAAAAAAAGATGGGGAGAAGCAGGATGATTTTCTTCAATCAACGCTGTCAAAGCGGCTTGGCCTTTTTTTTAACAGTTTGTGAGAAAAAGGAAACCAAGGTGAAAGGGGAACTGAGGTGATGAGCAGTTGTCCGGGGGAAATGCTGCTGCGACAAAGGTGCGGCAGATGAACAAAGTCCCCCCGCCTCATCTGAAATGCTAAATATAACAGCATTAAAAAATTATAAGACGATACTAAAACGGAAGTAAAACTGTACTGTTGTGGAATATTTTCATGGATTCATTTTGGTTCTGCTTTCAATTGGGATAAGTGCTTGTCTGTCAGGCATTCTCAGGTATAGTTCTGCTCAGAGGTAAAGGGTGAACTAGTCTTCTTCCTAGCATCACTATTCTCAAAACATCACCAAAATAGAAAAAAAAAAGAATAAAAGGAACTTTCAGCGTCACAAAGGTACCCAGTTCTGTATTTACCTGGGCAGATGCATTCTGAAATGATGCTAGTAGATGAGTGGTGAAGACATTTGGATGCGGGTCCTCTTTGGGGCTTGAAGTTATTTCCGTGAGAGCTTTTTCAGCATGAGTAACAGAGGCAGGCCTGGTCAGCTCGGCTATCACAGGGAGAGGCTGGCTGGTAGGTACAGATGTGACTGATATTCCCTGCTGTGTGACTTTGGGTAATACTGAAGAAAACGGGCTGACAGAATGGCACAGGGTCTTGGACTAAAAGATAAAAATATATAAAAGGCTAAATCTGATTTTATCAGATAATAAAATTAAGGCAGTGTTTCCAAAACTGCTCTGGAATTTGCATGTTCCATAATATATTAATAGGCATTTCTTTCAAAAAGATCCTGTGCTCAATTTGGAGGAAGCAGCATACTATACTACCCTCTTTAAGATTCTCAATTTACCCTAGTGTATTTATTGTCAATCCTTCAATAAATTATAATTAAACACCTATCATGTGCTTAGTATTCTGGGGAACTGGAGATACACCAATGATCAAAATGAGCCAAGTTCTTGCTCTCATGGAATGTCTGTTTTAGTGATGGAGATAAAGAGACAAATTATATCATGTATTCATAAAGTGCCATGAAGGAAAAAAATAAGGGTAAGCAGATAAAGATGAAGAGAACAGGTGTATTTCAGTTAGGGTGGTCGAATGTCAGGAAAGGGCATTTTTGCTGAGAATTGAATAAAGGGAGAGAGAAAGCTGTGTCATTATATTGGAGAAGGGCATTTGAGAAGTGCAAAGGTCCTGAGGCCACAGCCTGTTGGTTTTGTTTGAGGAAGAATAAGGAGACTAGATGAGCACAAGTGGTAGGAAGGAAGATAAAAAAAGATCCTGGGGATGGAGTGGGAATGAGGGATGGGGGTTGGAGAGCATGTCATATGTCAGGCAATTGAGAAGAGTGTGATTTTACTTTGAATAAGATGGGGAGACATGGGGAGATTTGGGGAGCAGTAACATGATCTGACTTCTGATATGAAGGCTCCTCTAACTGCTATGTTGAGAACTGACAAAAACGGGCCAAGGGCAGAATCAGGGAGATTAGAAGGAGACAGATGCCAAGTTCAGATGGGAGACGGGGTGACAGTGGTGAAGGTGTGAGAATTTAGGTTTTGGGTTCTGAGAAATCCTACAGTCAAAACTGTTCTCTTCCCTTCTAACGTTCGAAGCAATGTTGGTTGTTATTCTGCAGAACATCACTTGGAAATACTGACCTAAGGTATTTTTATTTCATCCCTGTTCTCTTTTATACTGCTAAAAGACCTTATTTTGTGCAGTGGATCAAATAAGTGTTAATCTATATTTAGATATCCACTGAAGGGTTTCTATGTAGGACACAAAGGCAAGAAGGCTGAGAAATTTCTTGAGGATGAAATTTTATAATTATGCAGAATTTCTACCTTTGTTTTCCTTTTACTCAGATTTCTTTTTCCTTTTAAAAAAAATTTTAAATTTTTTATTGCATTGCATATACTTTTGTAAGATGCCACAAGTCCTTTTTGGAATGAAGCAGGGAATATACAAACAAATAACAAATGATAATTATACCAATGAGAAAGGCAAAGACAGGCTTTAAAATTTTTCTTTAATAATGCATCCATTAAGCCTGATTCTTTCCTGCACGTAAGTACTTTCCTTTCCTTAGTAGAGCACTCTGTGAGATAGAATACAGGTCTGGCAGGACCCACCAGGAATGACAAAGAGAATACTGTTCCAAGATGTGTATTGTGAGAGTACTTACAAGGTTAGCATGAGCTGGTTGGCGACATGTGGTTGAAAGATGAGTGGTTCCTGGAGAAAAAAGAAAGTAGATTAAATTCAAGTAAAAGCCTAGGATAGAAATATTTCTTCCTATTTTATTTGTGGATAAAATATTCTTGGCTAAAATGCAAACTGTTTTATATAGGAAGCCAGAGCGATCATTCCCCACTGTTGATGAATCTGTAGACAAGTTAGAATTCTGAAGCTAAAGCATTACAAGTCACCAACGTCTAATCCCTTTGCTTACTCTTCAAAGACCCTTAGTATAAAAATAAATATCAAATCAAATCAATCACAGAATTGCCAGTATAAAACATTACTGCAGAAATATTTGTGACATAATTTTACCAAAAGCTCATTAATAAATCAGAGAATATGTCTGATAGACTTTCAGAAAATGATCATTTACAACATTTTACCTGATCATTATCATTGCCTTCATTCTCTTTCCACATTTTCCAGTAAGAAAAAACTATGCTCTAAAGGCCATAACAGTGTGCTAACATGCCTATTTGCTGTTAATTTCATGTTGACTTCTTACTAGGCATGAGCATTTAGACCACTAAAATGTACCTGGCTATAGCAAGCCTGCTTTTTCCTGCTGTCTTTTCTTGTAACATTCCCTCTGTTGTTCACAGGACATGTATATTTAGCAGCAGAATCACTGATGGAAGAGGACAGAGTTCTAAGATGTTCTACTGATCAGATGCCATGTCTTTCTATCAAGGCAAACAGGTTGGAGGGGAGAAGAAACTGAATTCTGAGTCAAAAGACCTGGGGTCCAGAGCTGGTTTGCTTTTTACCGTAACTATGGAGCCTTGATTTTCTCATCTGGAGAATGGGTGTAATAATATATAATGATGAGAAAAGTAAAGCAATGTAGGTAGAGTTGAGAAAAACATCACCTTGGATTAGGGTCATTAGGTCAATGGCTTGTTGGGAACAGGGAACTGACCCTACACTTCAACTGTAGATCTGAAAAAGGGGTTGTGAAAATCAGATAAACCAACAGGCTTCTGAACTAAGGGTGACCCAATTTCTTGGTCTCCTGATAAACACTGTGTTTGGACAGATCCTGCCTTAAAAGATAAGATAAAACCAAAAGGGAGCCCATGAATATATAGAACCTGGAAACTAAATCCAGAGGACTTAGAGAAAAGATACCTCTAAAAAGTATCAACAGAAAAAAAATTTTCAGAAAGCTACTTAATATCCTTAAATAGAAACAGAAAGTTTTAAAGCTAAATCAACTGAAGCTAAAACGCACAAGAATAAACTAGATTGAAAGAGAAATAAATGGCATTAGAGGATTTCAAGAAAACTAAAAATTCTGCAGAAAAATTAAAATCCAGTGGCAGTAATACAGAACAGAACTGATATGGAAAAACCAAATCAATGATATAGAGAATAAATATGAAGCATTTTCCCAGAATGCAACAGAAAGAGTGATAAATAGAAAACCATTCTTTTCCTTTAAAAGAATGACAGGAAAGATATGGAGGATATACAGCAATTGGAACTGTTTTAACTTGTACACTCTGCTAAAATATGGCATACTGGTGCTAAAATAACCAGATGAGGCTCAAGATTGAGTCATTCATGCTACGTCCCTCTTCATCGACCCGAAACTTAACAGTTTCTATGCTAGGCTCTCCCAGGAAAGGCAGGCCTCCAGTCAGCCAATCAGCACGTTCTTGCTCAGCACAGGTTAGTAACCCTGCTCCAGGATTTCCCATTGCTCAGTACAAGGAAAGTAACCCTGCTCGCTTGAGCCTATAAAAATCTCTCACCCTGTCCAGCTCTTTTAAGGGATACTTAAAGGGCTTGTTGACAGGGCATCTGACACTTGAACTTGTGAGGTCATATCCCTAAGAATAATCACTAGTTCTACTTTAAATTTGTCTCTTTTTTTGCCCATTCTATTGGGTGATCTCTATAATCATCCAACACTGATATTATTGATAGAAGTCATTTCAGGCTAATGCATCTTCCTCAATAGTATTTGTTTTTCAAAATTTAAAAAACAAATGAGAGAGAACATCACAATTTGAAAGACTTTGCAAGGACTTTAAGAAGACTTTCTTTTTTAAAGAAACATTTTGTGGGGAAAATTTTTTTTTAAAATTTGGACAAAGGAATATCAAGAAAATAAGTATTTATAACATGGAAGCAAAGATTGCAATATTCAGATCAGACAAAAAAGAATGCAACCAATATTTATTGTGTCCCTGTTAGGATGACACATTTCAGCATTAATTCAGTCTTGGGCATCCTTTAAGGCAGATACCGATTTCACTACACATTACCTGAGGTCATTCTGTTTCTCAGTATTGCAACTTCTCTTTCTGCCTTCTTGGGTCTCCAGTGTAAATGAGAATTATTTCCATTTCTTTCATAATCGGCATCTTGGTCTGAAAAGGCATCTATTTGGAGGCCAATGCAAAAATTAATTTATAGGCTACAGTTCTAACTATAAGTCTATAAAATAAGCATTACAAGTACATATGTGATGATCAAGAAAACAGATTAGAGATTATTATCATTATTATTTAGTTGTTTTATTTTTTAAGAAACAATAACATAAGAATTCCTAACTAGTTCTTTTGCTCTGGAGCATAATCACATCACCTTATACGATCTAACATTTCAAAATTAGGTCCACTGATTAGGTCAACACCTAAAAGACAGAATTAAGTTCATTTTAAGAAATTACATTCTAAGCATAACATTCTCCTTTGTAGTCTATAATTCCTGTTGGTAGAACTAAAAGAGCTCAGAAGGTGGGCAATGACATTCTTGAATGTGCCTTGCGTACACTTGATGGTTCTCATGCTGCTGAACATGGCAGAGAAAACCATCCAACTTCATTAACTACATCGCAGCTTAAATTCAGGACCCCCAACCCCGAAGCCTGCCTTCACACTGCCTGGCAATCACATTGTTCCCCTAGTCTTTTCCTGCTTCCACACTCCTAGATGACTCTTCCCTACTTTGTCCTCTACTCACATATCCAACAACTAAAGCTCCAAATCTCCCTGATCCGCATTCTCAGGTCAAGTGATAACCTTGCTTTCTACCTCAAGGGGACAACAGAAACCATTAAGAGTCCTTTCCACTGACTCCTACCTTCAAATCTGCTCACCTGCCAGTGTCTGTACCCACAGACACTGCCTTCTCTCCCACTACCACAAGCTCTCTGTGCTCCAGCCCCTCTAGGTGCACACTGGCTTGGATCAAGAACACTGTCATAGCATATTATTTTTCCCATCTTAAGGAAAAACCCCCACCAATTCACATCACCTCAGG